TTGGTATAATCTTGGAATAAATTCTTATATCAAGTATAACCTATATCTAAGTTATTCCGTGTTTATTGGTAAAGATTTTGCCTATACCTGAATTATTCTCAGTATAAGTTTTATACTTGGTTTATTAGTTATGCTGTAAATTTGGAGATCAGACTACGTACCATTCGCTGTTATATTATTTTCAATATTATTATATGGAGCTGAGACTTGGACATTAAAAAAATGTAATTTAAAAAGAATCGAGGCCTTCGAACTCTGGTTATACCGCAGAGTATTGAAAATATCATGGACTGATAGAATTACAAATAAAGAAGTACTGGAGAGGGTTGGTAAAGAAACAGAACTAATTACCACTATACAAACCAGAAAACTGGAATACCTAGGCCACGTATTGAGGGGACCAAAATATGAAATTTTGAGACTGATAATACAGGGAAAGGTTCAAGGAAGAAGATCTGTTGGCCGAAGGCGGAACTCATAATTAAAGAATCTACGTGATTGGTACCAATGCAGATCGATTGATTTGTTTAGAGCAGCAAGTTCTAAAATAAAAATAGCCATTATGATTGCCAACCTCCGTAGGGAGACGGCACTCTAAGAAGAAGAAGACAATAAATTACAGATAAAATATTGATCCGAATTTAAGTCGGAGATAGCACGTGAGTTTTTAGAAGTAGAAGGAGGATATTGGAAAAAAGAAAAAGATTAAAACGAAAAAAAAAATTACAATAGAACAGAAGAAAATATAGGAGAAAACACGGAATAAGAGGGATGTAGAGACAGATATTTTAGATGAAATATTCATTTGAAGTACACGAGTTAAAACCAGATTCAGAAGTAGAAAGAGAAGAATATCAAAAAAGGAAGCGACGAAAATAAAATCAGTAAAAGGTAGAAGGAAAAGGTAGTAACAATAAAAAAGGAAATTTACAAAGACGAGAAATTAGATTATTCAATTTATGGCAAGGATAAAGTTAATAAACTAAAAAAAGTTGCAAGAACGCCACTTTAAAATACATTGAAGAAATTATGTAAAATCGATATTATCAAAAAACACACATTGAAATATCTTCCTCGAGTACGAGGCTAATGCAACATTAACACTATTTTATAAACTATTTTATAATAGTTGTATAAAATTACAAGTTCATTATATTACTCCTTAATTTTTACAATTTATCAAGTACCCCTACACAAATGTTTGTTGTGTTGCCTATATTCAGGTCACATTTTAATTATGGTCATTGTGGCTCTATAAGTAACATAGATTTAGTAATAATAAACTTTAATAAAGATGTAGAACTGGAAGGCAATAAATGAAGCCGATTTTTAAAGTTTATTGCGAGTGTAGTCCGCTAGGTGGACACAAATAAGAGGGCAACAAAATGTAAACATTGTTTCAAATATATAGACGTTTAAGCGTTTATATTCTTTGATTGTTTCAAAGTGCACTTCCTTCCCATGATATTTATAAGAAATTTTGTAACATAATTTAATCATTTTTACTCTATTCTCTATTCATACGCTATTTTTAAATCATAATGATATTACTTCCTATCCTGTTTGCCAATTGTATTCTATGGAAAAATCTAAACAAGGAAAATGTATGCGAAATGTATTCCAATGAGCAGAGCAGAAGGAAAAGAATATTTTTTGAAGAAAATGAAATAGAAGCTGTTAAAATATTGATATCAACTAAACAAAATTTTAATATTAGCGCCATATGTCATTTACAGAAAGTTAAGTCTGGTACAATGTAAACTGTCAATTGTATTCACTTTCGGAACAAAATGAAGTTGTTGAAAACACAGAACCTTGTTCTTTTCAACTGGTGACTTCAAATAATGTCTCGTGTGTGAATGCAAAGAGAGTCAATAACATGGTACATGGTTCTTTCTGTAATAAATAACCAAGTAGTAGACTTCAGTTGCCACTGTATCGAGCTCATTAAGACTGTTAGCTATGAAAATCTGAGAATTTGACTCTAGGTAAATCGAGCAATAAGACAAAAGAGGGAATCTAATCCGTATGAAAAGGAGACCAAAAAAGTGGCCTCTGATGGCGGACATATCCGGAAATGCGAATGCGCGAAATTTAAATTTTCCGACACTTATCAACAGTAGCTATATAATATTTTTCAGAATGTGTCTTAGACGAGAAGGTTTTAATTAATTATTAATGATAAGAGTCTAAAATGTGACACAATTGTTAAAACACTTCAATATAAATAAGATTTCATGTGACATTTGGGACAAACAATAACATAACCCAACTAAATTTGATGTCAAACAAGGAGAGAGATTCTCTTTCCTTGTTTAATGTGGCCTCTAAAGATCGCACTTCCTGTCTAACAATATGTTTGCCCCCACTACCTTTACATTCCCTCTATTGTCTTCTTGCTCGATGCTCTAGGTACAGTTCAAAACAGAGGACTAAAAAGTACATGCACGATACCCTTACAACGGTATGCCGACGCGCATCCAATTGTGGATTTACTAATTTACAATTTTCAAATCGAATACAGTGGTAAATCAAACGGCGATATTGAGATACAAAAATACTTTTGAAAGAATTTATAAAAATGAAATAAAAAAATATTCAATGTGATTGGAATTTACGAATATTTATTTCAATATAGAAAGCGCTTTAACAGAATAATGTTTTAATACTTCGTAGGTATTTATTTATTTTTTTACGGTTTGTAAATTTTAACATTTTTATTTCCAGTTTTACAATTTTCAAAACTAATTTGCTTATCAATTTCTCGCAATCTTATGTAGCTTCTGGTACGACTAAGGCAATAAATAACTTCATAAGGTATATTACTTCATTACCAAGCATGGCAACAGTACGGTCAGCTATGAATGAAAATATTTTTTTCTGTTTAGAAAGTGACGTTCCATGCATTAAATTTTACTCTGTTTGCAGTACTTTTCGTCGGTACACGACGGCATTTTAAATAGGTATAATAATTTACACGCACTTTTAATCACCTATCGGATAGTTAACAATAGGTTTTTTTTTCAAATTCAAACATACAACAAACAACGATTTACTAAAAACCACGAAATATATTTCAAAACACTGAAAATACTATCTCACACCATAACATACAACAGCTCGATGCATCGACGTGACGTAACTGCGCGTCAAAGACACGTTTTTATTCCAAACGTAGCATACCATTGTAAGTGTATCGTGAGTACATGCTACTTCAGAAAGTCAAAACTAACTAAATATGTCTTATTCGGTCATTCTTGAACTTTGTATAAAAAACGTAAATTGTTTTAATATACTACATTATTGTAATATATAATAGGTATAAATGACAAATATCCAAATTCAACCATCAACAATTTTATTTCCTCCTTTTTCTTATAATTTATTTGCTAAAACGAGTAGCATTAAACCTGCTATATAGATATCTTGTTTGTAATAATTCTTTTGGCACAAAACAATCGTTTTTCTTACTTTCAACACCTTCAACGCTAAGTTAATAAAACAAGTCCCATACTTCATTGTTCTATGATAAAAATACGAAATAAAGCTAACATAAACGAGATCAGTCATAGTGTAATTTTCAAATTTTTGCCCCCTTATTAAATAATGAATAATGCCCTCTATCGGCTTCAATTCTGTCTTAATATAATCATATTATTATGGTGTTCAACCTCAAAGTTTTAATTTAAGTTACATTGAAATTGTGGCTCTAATGAGAGATCTTTTTCTCTATTTTCATTTTTATTTCTGCTTGTTTAAATATTGTTTTGATGTTCTCTTTATTATACATTTATATTTATATTTATATAATTACAACATAATTTGTAATTTTTTATATATACTGGGCTGCGATATTTTTTATTGGGTTTTTCAGCTACTTTTGAGTGCTTTGGCAGGTAAAGTATTTCATTAAATTCTTTGTTTAGTTTTTGATTTTAATATCGTAGTAATTTATTTTACCTGCGAAGTTAACAGTCTATTTTTTAAGCTATTTAGTTTGTTTGAATTTAAATAGATAAAGAAATAATAAATAAGACTTGCAATCAATTTAAATAAACTATCAGACAACCGGTTTCGCTTTCTACAATATGCAAAGCATCTTCAGGTCTCGATACAAAGTAACTTTGTATCTTCAGGTCTCGATACAAAGTTACTTTGTATCGAGACCTGAAGATGCTTTGCATATTGTAGAAAGCGAAACCGGTCGTCTGATAGTTAAATTAAATTGATTGTGAGTAAGTCTTATTTATTATTTCTTTACCTATTTGAAATGGACTCACACAAGCAACACATTCATGATTTTAACCGGTTTAACTGAATTACGGCAATCATAGACATACTATACAATTATATTAACATTATTGAGAGTGGTCATTCTGATTGTTTATTATTCTGTGCCTCCGCTTTAAAAGACATTGATGTCGATAAGGGGTATAAACGGGACGAGAAAGAACCAAAAGGCGAAAAGAATAAAAATGAAGAGAAGAAAGAAAGTACAGGAGAAAACTAAATAATAAAGAAGGAAAAAGACATACTAACTACAAAAAATTGTTGAAGAAGTAAAGAAAACTATCATTTAATTAAATAAATTTTTATTTAAATATATTTTTTTAATTTCATATACATATAGCTTCCCTTTTAATACTGTGTAAAGCAAAACATACATAATAATAAACACTGTAAGTAATTCATTCCAATTTATCAACAATTAAACACAATTTCTTCGCGCTATACTTCATTCCACGAACAACATTGCAAAATAAGTGAATAGCACCACATAGAGTACAGTTATCATCGGTTAAATGTTGAACTTTCATTAAATCTAGTTGATTCCGTTCATTTCTCAACTTTCTAAGAGTTGTCGCTTAAAAAATACGCTAAATTTAAATTTACTGCATGATCTAGACAATCTGAACATCTCGTTAGAATGAAGTAAAGCATCGAACAAAGTTTTAACGAAATACAATCTCAAAGATGTTACTGGAGTCCATCAAATAGCTTTACTTTCTGTCAGCCGGACGAACGTACTTGCTGCCTCCGTTCTTCTCCCATTCCTTGTTGAACTCGTTCTCCAAAATTTCGGCGCCGCGCTTTCTGGTTAGGCCGGTTTCTTCAAGGGACAGTTCGCACATTTGCATGTCGTCTTTGCCTACAAAATAGCAATAAAATCAATATTGTTACATATATAAGTACAAATTACATACATAAATTAGTAAATTAATTAATATATCTACGTCTTTTTCGATATTAATGCAACAAAACTTTATTGAACTACGTTATATGAAAAATTACAGCGTTTTATGATCATAAATATGCAATGCGACATAATCCATTTTCTACGAGACTATAATGCATTTATTTTATAGTGGATAACAAAATTTTTAGAAATGCAATTAAAAAGAAACAGTATATCAAGAAATCAATACAAACCAAAAATGAAAAGGAATTAAAAAATCAGTAAATCTGAAAGTCCATGATTTGAAAAATGATCAATTTAAAAAGTATAAAAATTCGGAAATTAAAAAATCATATAAGAAAGTGTAACGCCAGTATTCAGAAATATTTCAATATGGCATAAGTTTTAGCAGTTCTTCACGTCAAAATTACAGTATGCCGCCTTGTAGTATTAGTGGGGTTCGTTAATGTAGAAATCTAACTGCGAGGGTGGTTTGACATGAATCTAGCAAGTAAAAAACAAAACGATTTTTATTAGTTTCTTCAATTATTTTTAAATATATTTTCCTTTTTGTCCAAAACCTCTGTCCAAACTCTGCTAAATCTTCCGGTCGAATTAATCACAATAATGTCAAGTTTGCCCTCAGCGTTTTGCACATGGAGCTAAATCTGGCGAATACGGTGGTAAAATTGAAAGAGTACCTATACATCATTTAGTACTCTATATTTTCAAGACATCAATAATAACAACATCTTTGGCATATCAAAATGTGAATGTGTCGCCAAAAACTCTTTATCATTGCTCATTTTCCTGGTTTAATCTGGAATAGTGATTCTTACGACCACGAACAAATTTAACTTTCTCAAAGTTTCACTGTTACTAAAGATGACGCTTGTTGTAGCGATGTTTCTGCGTTACCTTTCGCTAATAACTGAGAGGAATTCGTTTTCAAGTAGCGCCATCTATTGAAGGTCAGATCAATGTCAAGATGCCCTCGTAATTTGAAGAACAAACCAAAAAATGTGTGTAAGAACTGTAGTATTACAGCTCAATAGACTATTTAGAAATAAGGGCGTTAGATGTCCTTACAAATGTTGGAAAATGTTAACTCTATATATAAATGTTTGTCTTACACACATATTTTTGGTAAACATAAAACATTTAACAAAAATAGCAGCCAAAAGCACTATTAAAATACATACAAAAATAATAATAAAAGAACTTAAGCCAAAGCTTGGTGGGGGATTAAAAATTGACTATAACTAGAATACATAACATACAATTGGTTATAAGTGATGAAAATACGAATTATTTTAAAAAGATATAGAATAAATTTCAAAAATAAATAAAAAAATTGAAAATGGAAATAAGTTTGTAAAAGTAACAGGGTAAACGAAGTAAAAGCATAAGGAATAAGATAATACAGGCATAAATTAAGAAAACAACAATAAAAATGTCTTAAAACGCATATAGAACTATATATTAATGAGTAAAATCAACAAAGGTACTTAAACAAAAATAATACAAAAAGAGCAGATGAACAAACAACACACCGAAAGAAATAACAAGTACAGAAAGACTGAAAAATAGAAAAAAAAAACGAAAACACCAGAAACTGTAAAAAAACTCAAAATGGGCTAATCCTCATATTAATAAATATAAAAAGGTATTCAAATGTGAACAACTGTACAGTGCACAAAGATAAACATACATTCATACTTGATGAATAACCCTATATGCTCCAGTATCAAGTTATTTATAAAAAAACACAGTTAAGTTCACAGCATGCCACAAATTTTACTTACACATTAAACACTTGTCACCTGTGTCCTAAGAATAATCATATACAACATTATTTTATTTATATATACACAGTCGAAAAATGTAAATAAGATACAGGGTCAGTCGTAACTATTGAAATATATACTAAGTCAGGTTATTTGAACCTCACCTTAGTCAGGTTAGATGTTGTCTAAATATACCTTAATAAAATGTTATGGAATGGGATACAATGTGATAAAATTGAATGGCTTTATTCGTTTTTTTTTTTTGGCAAAAGTTTACATTTTTAAGTGCCATCTCCATTACAGAAGTTGAGAATCGGATAGTAACTCTAACTTTCCTAGATTTTTCGACCAAGATATTTCCTTGTCTCTGGTCTTGGAACTCTACAATAATATTTCTTGTCTATGAGAGCTTAAAAATCATATTTAGCATTCTTCTGTTGTTATTTTAGTACTCTGTCAGCTAATTTTTTTTATTTTTCAAGTTTTTTTTACTGTATTTACTGAAATTCAAACAGTGCTATTAAAATGATCCTGTGTATAAGATTATAGAATGATATTAGTAGCCTTCAGTCAATATTTGCTAAGTCCGTTGGATTTCGGAGTAGTGTTTATTAAAATCTTCTTATGTTTAGTATCAATTTCATTAAGAAACACTACAGTAGTAATAATTGTCAACGTTAATATCCATTGCCACAACAAATTAGTAATAAAACTATTATTTATCAAATGAAATCGTAGGCTTCCACGGCCAGAGTCAGAATTATAGTTTATTCGTCTTCCGGGTTTGGACCGTGTCATTTGTGAGTGACCCAAAAGTGGGTTCATCTCGACGTTTCGCTACAATTATATGTAGCTTCTTCAGGAGAAACAAAGAAAAAGAAAACAAAAGAACAGGAAGATGGGTAGTTAGCAACGGTAACTCAGTTACTCAACGCAACCAGAGGCGAATACTAACTACCAAGATGGGCATTTGGTCACAGTAACTCAACTACTCAACGCAGCCAGAGGTGAAAACCAAATGCCAGGACAGGGATTCACGTCCAACAGCTCAGAACACTAACGCGTCGAGAGGCGGGGAGTGAATCCGACGATTACTCCGCTACCGCTCTATTTATAGTCGCGGTGCCTGTCGTGTCGGGACGTATCGGCACACTTCGTGGCGCGAACGTCAAGAAGCGCGCGCTGGCCAATCATGTGGTGGCGGGACCGGATGGTGGCTCTAGACTGAGATTCCAGATGGGAGACAAGTAGTATCCTTCCTCTCGATTGATATTATGGGGATTTTTTCGGATCTCTAGAGATTCGCGGATTTTCCTGGAATAAAAGAAGGGGCTCTTAGAAATAATATGGGTTTTTTCGAACAATATGGAATGACCGGTTTTTTGGCAGTGTTCGGCAACTGCAGAATGGGAGAAAAGACCTGATCGAATGCCTCTTTGATGCTCTTGAATCCGAGTTTTGACGGAACGACCACTTTCGCCAATATACACATGTCCACATGAACAAGGAATAGAATAGACACCACAGGAAGATAGGGGCGGTAATGGGTCCTTAGGAGAGGGTAGATATTGTGAGATTTTCTTGGGTGGTCGAAAAGTAGTCCTGATACCTTCTTTGCGAAGAATTTTGCCAATCCTATCAGTGACATTTCGAATATACGGAAGAAAAGCCACAGGAGTATTACCCGAAGATTCTGAATTTGTTGTCCTAGGGTGTAAAGGGGGATGTAGATGTCGGTGTGTAATATTTTGAATTGTGGACTTGGAGTAACCATTGGCGACAAGGGTTTTTTTGCAGATGGCCAAGTTCTTCTCTAAGGTTGTCGGGTTCACCCCGACATCTGGAACACCATATCTGGAACACCAATGGGTGGTGTATCTTTCTCACTGTCATTGCTGACATTTTCATGGAAGCCTTTGAGTCTTTAGCCCTAGAATCTTACCCCTTAAAACCAAAAGTCTGGTTCCGCTACGTTGATGATACATTTATCATCTGGCCCCATGGCCAACATACCCTTTCTTCCTTCCTAGATCATCTTAACTCACAACATCCGAGTATAAAATTCACAATGGAAGTAGAAATAATCGGTCCCTTCCCTTTCTCGATGTGTTAGTCACCTCCAAGCCCAATGGCCGATTGGGTCACTCTGTTTATAGAAAAAAGACTCACACGAATCGTTACCTACATGCTTCATCACACCACCATCCTGCCCAAAAGAATTCTGTGATCAACTCTCTCATCCATCGGGCCATTTCGATTTCTGAACCCGACAACCTTAGAGAAGAACTTGGCCATCTGCAAAAAACCCTTGTCGCCAATGGTTACTCCAAGTCCACAATTCAAAATATTACACACCGACATCTACATCCCCCTTTACACCCTAGGACAACAAATTCAGAATCTTCGGGTAATACTCCTGTGGCTTTTCTTCCGTATATTCGAAATGTCACTGATAGGATTGGCAAAATTCTTCGCAAAGAAGGTATCAGGACTACTTTTCGACCACCCAAGAAAATCTCACAATATCTACCCTCTCCTAAGGACCCATTACCGCCCCTATCTTCCTGTGGTGTCTATTCTATTCCTTGTTCATGTGGACATGTGTATATTGGCGAAAACTGGTCGTTCCGTCAAAACTCGGATTCAAGAGCATCAAAGATGCATTCGATCAGGTCTTTTCTCCCATTCTGCAGTTGCCGAACACTGCCAAGAAACCGGTCATTCCATATTGTTCGAAAAAACCCATATTATTTCTAAGAGCCCCTTCTTTTATTCCAGGAAAATCCGCGAATCTCTAGAGATCCGAAAAAATCCCCATAATATCAATCGAGAGGAAGGATACTACTTGTCTCCCATCTGGAATCTCAGTCTAGAGCCACCATCCGGTCCCGCCACCACATGATTGGCCAGCGCGCGCTTCTTGACGTTCGCGCCACGAAGTGTGCCGATACGTCCCGACACGACAGGCACCGCGACTATAAATAGAGCGGTAGCGGAGTAATCGTCGGATTCACTCCCCGCCTCTCGACGCGTTAGTGTTCTGAGCTGTTGGACGTGAATCCCTGTCCTGGCATTTGGTTTTCACCTCTGGCTGCGTTGAGTAGTTGAGTTACTGTGACCAAATGCCCATCTTGGTAGTTAGTATTCGCCTCTGGTTGCGTTGAGTAACTGAGTTACCGTTGCTAACTACCCATCTTCCTGTTCTTTTGTTTTCTTTTTTCTTTTTCTTTGTTTCTCCTGAAGAATCTACATAAATTGTAGCGAAACGTCGAGATGAACCCACTTTTGGGTCACTCACAAATGACACGGTCCAAACCCGGAAGACGAATAAACTATTATTTATCGTTAAATAACTTTTTTTCTGTGCAAACATTTCAATTCGAATCGATTAACTCACCTGATACGAGCAATATCGGCGGCTTGTCCGGATGCAGTTCCATTTGTCTAGCTACATACTGCCCGTCGAAATGGGCGTACCACCATCCTCTTCTGCTCTGGTCAGAGCCGGGCCTTTGGAACGGGATTCTGAAGAACCTCTGGCTGTTGTTGTCCAAAACCGGTTTCTGGGCGACGGACCGTTGGGGAGTTTTCACAGCCGACTCCATGACAGAACGAGGAGCGCGTTCGTTCTCGTCCATGATGGTGCGTTTGCGATTCTTCGCTTTCCAGGCATGGTAAACCTGAATGAATCAAAATAGGAAACACTTAGTAATTGAGGAAAAAAAGAGTGTGGACGCATTGACAAAGGAAGAGAGAACATGAGAACTTAGTATTTCACAGGATTAGTGGTTAGCACAAGTAGAGCGAGAAGGAACAGGAAATGTAGAAGGGAAATAAAGGTGGAAGTCTAGGAAGATGAGAGATTAAAGGCAGTGACAGTGGGTGAGAAAAGAGATGAGTAAAAGTCAGGAGACATAGTCAAACAAACGCTTTCAGAGACAAAATGGATGGGAATAAGAATAAAAGGAAAAGTGTGAAAATCACGAAGAGAAAATGATAAAGATGGAAATAGTAGTGTCTTGTTCTTAGGGTGCCTGTCCATTCCAAATGTTGGCGATCATTCTGGCTATGATGACTTCTTTGGCTGCTATACGAAATATGTCTGTTAAGATCTTTCTATACCATACTCCAAGGTTAGCAAGCCAGGATATTCTTCTTCGTCTTGGGGCCCTTTTTCCTTAAATTTTACCTTTCAAAATGCATTGGAGTAGCTCATATCTGCCTTGGTTTCTTATTATATGTCCCAAGTACTGCAGCTTACGGTCCTTCACGATGTTGACCAAATCCGTGGTTGTGTTCATCCTCCGTAGTACTTCTTCATTAGTGACTTTCTCTGTCCATGGTATCTTCAAGATCCTTCTGTATAACCATAGCTCAAAAGTCTGAAGTTTTGATAGTTTCGCCTTTAATATCCATGTTTTTACTCCGTACAAAAGCACTGAGTACACGTAACACTTTAAGGAGACTTATTTTTATTTCTAGGGTGAGGTCATGGATCTTGAACTCACAAAGCTCATAGTCAAGAATGCACTTTTTGCCTTTGCGATGCGACATTTAATCTCGGGTATTGTCCCACGACTCATTGATAATAGTTCCAGTTATGTTTTCCTTGCTGATAAACATTAACTTTCCGTTATTTCGTTCATTAAGTTTTGCAGCTATTCTATGGTATTGGAAAACACTGTTGTATCATCTGCATACCGCAGATGGAACGGAAAGAAAACATGACAGGGTTGGGAACACGAGAATCGGGAGAGTATAGGGAGTGACAACGTTTGCATAAAGGAGGAGAATAATTATATAATAGTTAAGGGAGATAAAGCAGCTGTTTATAGGGGCTAATATAAAATCGAAGAGAACGGGAAGGATGGGGGCAGGGCATACAGATAAGAAATGGGGAGAGGATAAGAAGGAATATAGGATTGGTAGATCTGTTAAAATAGAGTGGTTAAGGATACTTGAAATTGTAGGAATGTAGGAGAAAAAAGAAAAAGAATAAAAAAATTAAACAGACAGTTAAAAATGATAATGAATTGGTCGTAAAAAGAACGAACAGAGAGGAAAAGAAAGCTATAGAAATTGTAGTTGTGGCAAAACGCCTGCTTTCGCATTTTTCGAAGAATTTTTTAATGATTTCCAAAGAATCTTTAATTAAAATTGTGCTTGCTACGTAGATAAATAAAATACCTGTGTTTTAGATCGATTAAAAAGTAATGATAAGTGAATAATAATCAAATATTGCTGTTCTTACCTTAAGACGGCGATGGAATTCATGTCGACACGCTTCTAGCAAGTCAATATCACAGGAAGTATTGATAGTATCACGAAGTTCCGAGTATTTCCATTTAGACAGGTCGTATTTGCTGTTGGCCATAGTAGCTTGATGGTTTCTATGTGCTTCTGACCTATAAATCGATAAGGAACAAAAAATAGATGGTTACAGCAGGAGTTATAGCTTAAAACGTGCAGTTAGTGTTAGTTAAATGTGCTGTGGGCATGCATAAGACATAATGGGTTAGAAAAATTACTAAATATATTGAAATTAGTGATTAGTGAAGAGAAAAAGTGCTAGGTATTAAATAACAATGCATCCACGCAGATGAAGTTTAAATAATATCAAATTTAAAACGGCAGTATAAACATTTAGCTCTTTTAAATGAATACATTTGGGCTTTACTCCAATATTGTCCCATATGCCACTATTGAACTATGTATTAAAAATACTACAAATGAATTATTGACCTGATAAAATAATAAAATAATATCAGATGACTTAGCACAGAATAATAAACAATCAGAATTCCCACTCTGCTTGAAAAAATAAGTACGTGCATCTCGTTCGCGCAGACGGAATCAGCCATGTTTTAAACGGAACCAGTGCTGTTCAGTGACATTTTATCTGGTGTGCATAGACAAATTAACCCGGTTTAATTTATTTACGGCAACTACAGACATAATATGCACTATTTTATTCGTACTTTTAGTTGAAGAATCGATTAAATTATTTCAGATGTACTAAATTATTAATCTCTAAAAATTTAAATTAGAGTTCTGTCATAGCTTGTCACAAATGTCTGAATTCGATTCCATGTTTCCGTCTAAAACATGGCGTTCGCGTGCTGACAAACTTCAAAGGCGGCATCTGAGAGTGGGCATTCTGATTGTTATTTATTCTGTGCCAAAAGTATAAAATTTCGCACAAAAAATGAATATGTACTGTAAAACAACTTTCTATGACGTTCCAGTTTAAGACAGACGCCATTTTGACAACCAGAAGCAATTTTGTCAAATGAGCTTCAGATTTGGAAACCGATGCTTTGAATAAAAGTTTGTAAACGAGGCGTAACAAGGAACTATATGAAGAAAATAAATGTGACATGTTTGAAATATGAACAAAGAAGGAGATCAAGTGATATGTAACAAGGACAAGGTGATTTAGAAATACCGCGAACTTTGTTACGAATGAGGAGTTAATTTTGGCTAAGTTTGCGTAACTTTCGGCAAAAAATATCGGCCGCAACGACGAAGAAAAGTTGACAACAAAACATTTAACATAGCAATTTCGAGAAAATAGTGAGGTACAAGTAAAATTAGATTAAGCTTAGGTGGTGTTTTTAAAAAAGTGTGCATAAAACAAAAAGAGTATAAATATCTTAATTTTTTACATGCGAACTATTATACAAGAAGCTTTTGACACAAAAATCACGGTGTAGAGATGCCAAATGAGATCAAGGTGTGGCGCTATAATGATGTAAGTGTTCACAACGTTTTTTATAGTACTACTCTTGACATTTATTATAATGACTTGAAAAAATCATTTAATATCTTGTTCCTAAACGAATTTCGTGACGATCGTCTAAAGTTAGTTGTTATTGATATGCTTCTATTGCCATATAATGACAATATAACTTATAGAACACTATAACTAAATGAAATTATCCGAAAATTGGTTGATGTTTACAAAATTCAAATGATTCTACTTTATTCCCAATAATAATCTTATTTGAGCCATTTTCAGTTATTAAGGTTATTAATTTCTTTGAATATAATTATTTGAATAAAATCTGGCAACAGTATAAAGTATCAGCTGTAGAAAAGATCCGTATATGGTATAATTCAGAGTTGTTGTATGTAACTGTGAATACTTACTCAACCTTCTTTCAAGGGATTATACAAATGAACTATTGCTATTTTCTGTAGTAACACAGTACCATATCGGGAAAATTTTGAGCTAAAATCAATTTCTTTCAAAAATGTTGCTGTGAAGGCAAGCATAATTATGTAACTTCACAACTGATTTAAAAGACTATTTATCACTTATATAAATAACGCTGAAGTGGACTATAGAAAAGATCAAGCATAAAATTGTTTAAAGAGAAGGGATATTTGTGCATCTTTGAAAAGTGTTATGTCTATTTCTTTCGTGCCACGTGCTGATATAGTAGTAAATGACACTGAATTACACTATAGAGAATAGAAGTGTTAAAATTGCCTAAATAAGAAGAATATTTGTTCATTTTTGGTCACTTTTGATCCTGGTGACTGATTTAAAAAGAGGTTATGTCTATTTCCTTCATGACATGTGCTAATATAGACGTAAAAAACGCTGAACTAGAGACTAGAAAGACGACAAATACCAAAATGGACCAAACAACAGTGATATTTGTTCCTTGTATGCCATTGATCCTGCTGATTGATTGAAAAAGGTGAGTGATAGACTACAGAAAAGATAAATAGCAAATTAGGGGGATATTTCTGTATTTTTGTCACTACTGATTCTGGTGTATACAAGCTTACATGTGACGACTGAACATAAAACTTATATCGGTCAAACAGTTAAAAAAATTTAACAAAAGTATAGCAGAACACAAAAGAGAAGCGAAAGAAAAGAGAAGCAAGGGAAAAGATGCGAAGAAAATTGAGACTCTGTAATCAAAGTACGATAGTGACAATACACATAGGAAAGTTAAAGAACTCACAGGGGAACTAAGACGAAGGCAGAAAGGAAATATAACTGATTCTGACGGAAATATCATCTTAGATAAACAGATTAAAATAAGAACGTAGAAAGAGTATATAGAAAAACTATTTGAAAACCAAAGAGATAACACCTTTGAGCTAGAAGAGGTAAATGATGGACCAAGAATATTACAGCAGGAAGTTTATTCGCATAACACAGTTAAAGGATGGCAAAGCGGCAGGCCCTGATAATATACAAGCAGAACTACTCAAACTAATGGACAACGAAACAATAGCAATAATCGCAAAGATATTCAACAACATATACAACTCTGGGGAAATACCAACAAAATGGCTGAAATCTGAGTTTATTGCACTTCGCAAAAAAACCAGAGGCAAAAAATGCGAAGATTGCCGCTCTTTAGGAGATTTGCATCTCCTAAAATTGTTCCTAAAGATAATTCATAAGAGAATCTACAAGCTGTGTGAAAGTCAAATTTCCCCCAACCAGTTTGGGTTCACAAATGCTGTTGGTACTAGAAAATCTCAGAGTTGAAGGTGAACACACTGACTATGTGAAAATCATGCGTGGAGTAGACAAGGCTATATTTTGTCTCCTCTTATCTTTAATCTGTTCCGTCTACGTCTTCTCTGTCCTTTTTTATGGTGTTGAATCGTGAACCTTGAACGAAGTAATGTGCAGAAAACTGGAAGCATTTGAGATGTCACTATATCGGAGATATATGCTGAAGATCCCGTGGACTGACCGAGTCACAAATGAGGATGTCCTCAGAATGATGAATAAGAACAGAGAGGTACCGACCACCATCAAATCTAGAAAGTTACAGTTCTTTGGACATATTATGCGAAATGAATCCAGATATGCTCTCCTTCAAGCCATCCTGCAAGGAAAAATATTTGGAAAACGAGGTCCAGGAAGAAGAACATCTTGGATAAAGAACCTCAGAATCTGGTTCAATACAACATATGTGCAGCTTTTCCGCGCTGCTGCAGATAAGATACAGATTGCAATGATGATCGCCAACATTCGTAACGGATAGGCACATCAAGAAAAAGAAGAAGAATTCCTGTTTCCATACTTTCTTTACAGTAACATTGCTCATCTAACTCTCTAGCAACGCTTCTACTTGAACGTGTTGGAAGGAACGCTAAAATAGACTTTGTTAAGAAGCTATTGATACTTTTCTTTTTATATTTATACAATGAACATATTAGAAGATCATTTCTACAGCATATAGTCAGTTCCAATATTCATTCATCAATTTAAATATAAATTTACCTCAATTTGTCCAAGTTGGTTCAAAATATTTCTTGTGAAAGTGGCTCTTACAGATCTTTACCGATTTTTTGTTATTAAAACCGCGCAATCATCAAAATAAACCTATGTTAGTGACAAAATGACATAAAACTAGGATTAGCAACTGTGATTAGTAAAATCCAAACGTGTTACTATTACTTTGAACCAGTTCTACCAACTGATTCGCTACGATACTAACGAATAAATACCTGTTCAACTTGTAGATTTTGTCCGGTTCTACCGTGCCGCTGAATAATAGAAAATCATCGTTTTATTAGTGAGAAAAAACAAACATTTTATGATTATTGTTGATATATTGGTGGTTTTGATCTAGATGGAAGTATATTTACATAAAAAATATACAAAATGATTTACATAATTAGAAAACCACATGCATTCCATTTGGACACTATTAACAAAATAGTTATTAGTGCTTTTAGGACTTAAACTATACTTATAATATAAATATCTCGCAGGCATTTTTTTATATTTAAATGTAAAATTCATGTACACATATTTCAAAATAACACGGTTATTGTAGAATTAAAAAACGACAACTGTAGTATGGTGAAACCGATAAACTATAAGAATACTTAGTACGTACTTGCGGATCATAGGTGGACTTTCTTCAATCGATCCGTTGCTTTCTTGTGCTAGTCGCAAGGCCAATTCCCTATCTTGCTTTTCTTGGTCTTCCTGTTCTTGAATACGTCTTTGCTCTTCTTCCTCCTTAGCGTGCTGCTCCTGAAGTTTCTTTGCTAATAACCTATCTGCCTCTTCCTATTAACAAAAACAACATTTACTGATAATAAGATCTTTAAAAATAGTTCGTATATACTAAGTATAAAAAAAATACGAAATAATAAAATACGATCCAAGCGTATGCTGAATTTAGCACATATGGTAAAAATAATGGACTCAGGCTCAACGTAACAAAAACACATTTTACCGTTACTTACCAAAAAACTTAACTCCAAATTCTGACTTTTATTTACATGTGGATGTGGGTGTCAAATCAGTAGAAAGTTATACTACAACGAAATTTTTAGGGGTAACCATAGATCATAAACTTACATGGGAAACTCACGTAAATCATGTACCAGCAAAGTTAAGTACATGTAACTATATAATGCGTAATTTAAGAGAAACTGCCTCATTTGATATATTGCGAATGATTTGCTTTAGTTTAGTCCAGTCTACTAGTATGGCTGAATGTTTTGGGGTTGCTCATCTAATTTTGAAACGGGCATTTATAGCTCAAAAGAAAGTTTTAAGAAGTATGTATGGCGTTCCATATTCAGATAGTTGCAAGCCACTATTTAAGAAGTCTAATATTTTAACACTACCTAGCCTTTTAATTTTCCAATTAATATTAATAAAACAAGCTCAAGTTTGACAGAAATTAGGACATTCACTCACATGATACTAGAGGTAAATCAAATTTTCGACAACCTTTCTCTAGATTAGGTGTATCTCAACATGCACCTGAATATACTCGTATTGGAATAAAATGTTACAATAAAATAGTCAATATATTAACTCTCAGTAATTCTTCACATAAAGGTTTTCGCCAAATTGTGTATTCATTTTTAACGGACAACACATTCTACAGTGTTGATGGATTTTTAAATTTTTAACATTATTGCAACAATAGATCTAAATTTGTATTCGTAACTTTTTTCGTAATTTATTTTAATGTGATCACTGTTTTATTTCAATCATATGTACTTTTACTATACAGTATTGGAAGATTCAAAACGGAACATACGAATTATTAATACAATTATTAAGATCCCCTGACCTGCAATTACCCAGTGTAAATTTCAATATAACGTCGCGATGTCTTATAATTAATTCATTTGTTCGACTGGACTCCTTCTCCAGTCGATATTTTTCGACTGCTGCGCACGTGCGCACCTTAATAATACGACTAATAGTTGATTGTGTCGGTATTGGCCTATCTTCATACGCACAAGTAAATAAATTTATAATATCACGGTACGAGTTGCCCCCATAATACCATTTTAAAATTTGTACTTTTTCTTTGTTTGTATACATGGTTTATGGTTAGAAACACTACTTTTATTTCAGCTTATGGCGTTATAATGAGAAGCAAAGCAAAGGGCATGTATTTGTTTTGCTCGGCCAGTGATGTTCCTTGGGACTGTTGCCAAATCGATAGATACCTTCGGCAAAAATCTGTAGATTTTGATGTATCATATACATCCTTTTAAATTTTAAATTATCAACAATATTTGGAATAATAAATATATTAAACTATACACTAACCAATTCAAATAATATCTAATGAACACAAAAAAATTGTTATTAATAAAACATTGTTATTATCTGCACAAAAACACAGAAAATCAGTGGACGATAGACAACAGTGTCGACGTACACCTGTCGAATACGCTACTAGAAATCGCCAAGGAGTAGCAATCCAGTCGAACAAATGAATTAATTATAAGACATCGCGACGTTATATTGAAATTTACACTGGGTAATTGCAGGTCAGGGGATCTTAATAATTGTATTAATAATTCGTATGTTCCGTTTTGAATCTTCCAATACTGTATATTGTACTCTTTTGTACTAAAATATTGACTAGTCCGATAAGATTTATACATTTTTTTGTAAGATTTGTGTAAATTTTGTAGATAAATAAATTCTATCTATCTATCTACGAATTAGTTATTTTACAGTTTTTGTGTGAGGTAAATCCTGTCACCTTTTACTGACTTTCAGCCATTCTTATTCAATTTTTCCCACTATTGGTGACTTCATAATAAATCTGGATGAAGTATAATGAAGTTTGAGGCCTAGAATAGTTTTTAGCTGCTGTTAGAAACACTCCTAGTGACTTTTAATGTTCTTTAATAACTCCAAGGCACTTGTGACGATCAATAACATTTAACCATTTTTTTCTGTTTTTCATGTTTTAGTCACCTTTTACCACTATTAGAAATCACTTTAGGAATCCTAAAAATTCTAGATGAGAAGAACAGTGATGTTTTAGTGACACTCTTGAACCAAATTTATAGTTCAGGCCTATTACCCAAAGAGTTGTTAACATCGATTTTTATTTGTCTCCCCAAAAAGAAAAACGCAAGAGAATGCAGCGATTACCGCACCATTAGCTTTATGTCTCATGTGCTAAAGTTACTACTAAAAGTCATCCATAACCGAATATATCACAAACTGGATATAGACGTGAATGTTATACAATTTGGTTTTCGCAAAGGCCTAGGAACGCGTGAATCTCTTTTTTTCACTTAATACACTGATACAAAGACGCCTGGACGTCAATCAAGATATATACGCATGTTTCGTTGACTATAATAAAGCATTCGATAAAGTACGACATGAACAATTAATGAATGTCCTGAGATCAAAAAAGGTTGAATACAACGACCTCAGGATCATATCAAATTTATACTATAAACAGCGAGCAAAAGTACGTGTTAACGAAGAGCTGTCAGAAGAAATTGAAATTAAACGTGGAGTGAGACAGGGATGTATATTCTCGCCAATTCTTTTTAGTGCCACTCCGAAGAGATCCTGAAAAAGCTCTTGAGGGTGAAACAGCTGGAATAAAGGTAAATGGAGTTCCCATTAACAACATTAGATATGCCGACGACACTGTGATCTTAGCCGAAAATATTTAAGATCTTCAAAGATTGGTGACCAGAATAGCGGAGTATGGAAAAGAGTACAGTCTAACAATGAACGTCAAGACGACGAAATTTATGAGAATATCGAAACACAAAGAAATAACGAGAATATTTTAATAAACGGAACCAACGCCGAATAAGTAGACAAATATGCATATCTGGGAACAATGATTAACTCCACAAATGATTACATTCAGAAGATCAAAATCAGAATAGAAAAGGCTAGAGCAAATTTCAACAAAATGAGAAGAGTGCTTATGTACAAGGGATGTAAAATTGGAACGAAGAGTTAAGTTGGCGAGGTGCTTTGTTTTTCGACTTTGTTTTATGAAAAGGAATCTTGGACCTTGAATGCGACATCAATGAAAAAACTGGAATCATTCGAGCTGTGGGTGTATAGAAGAATTCTGAAAAGATTGTTGACAGAAACACGTCACACACAAAGAGGTTCTGAGAAGGAGTTAATAAATAGAAATTTTAAGTACAATTAAAACAAGAAAATTGGAATACGAGGCGTGTTTTTTAAGTAAGTACCGTTTTGGAATTAAAAAAAGACGTGCAAAGATATGGCAATAATTTTATTTTTACATGAAAGCCTGTACCTTAATCTACTTTTCTACATAATTTCCGTGAATATTGAGGCATTTGTCATAACGTAGCCAGTTTTTGAATACCCCCCTGATAAAATTCTGCCGCCTGACTTGTTAACAAATGTTTTGACTTCGTTATCGTCTTGAATACGCTGACCGCCCAGGTATTTCTTCAAGTACAGAAACAAATGATAGTCGCTGGGCGCCAGATCAGGGCTGTATGGAGGATGATCTAGAGTTTCTCATTTAAATGATTTGATGAGATCTTTGATCTGATTAGCTACATGTGGACGGGGATTGTCATGCAGCAAAATGATACCCTTACTCAACTTGCCACGTCTTTTGTTCTGGATTGCACGACGCAGATTTTTCAATGTCTCACAATACGACGCTGCATTGATTGTCTCATTACGAGGGAGAAACTTCACTAGCAATACTCCTTTTCTGTCCCAAGAAACTGTGCACTTGATTTTCCGGGCAGAATATGTTTGCTTAAACTTCACTCTTTTATCCCACATCTTTAGAGGTCACATTAAACAAGGAAAGAGAGTCCCTCTCCTTGTTTGACATCAAATTTAGTTGGGTTATGTTATTGTTTGTCCCAAATGTCGCATGAAATCTTATTTATATTGAAGTTTTTTAACAATTGTGTCGCATTTTAGACTATTATCGTTAATAATTAATTAAAACTTTCTCGTCTAAGGCACATTCTGAAAAATATTATATAGCTACTGTTAATAAGTGTCGGAAAATTTAAATTTGGCGCATTCGCATTTCCGGATATGTCCGCCATCAGAGGTCACTTTTTTGGTCTCCTTTTCATAAGGATTAGATTCCCTCTTTTGTCTTTTTGCTCGATGGACGTAGGCCACCCACGTTTCGTCACCAGTAACAATTTGGTCTAAAAAATCTTCACCTTCACTGTGGTACCGCTCAAAGAAAGTCAATGCACTGCCTAAACGTTGGGTTTTGTGCAAATCCGTCAACATTTTTGGAACCCAACGTGAACACAATTTCCGGTAATTCAAGTTTTCGGTAACAATGCGATACAAAACACTACGAGAATACTGAGGAAAGCAGTCGGACAATGATGAAATTGTAAAGCGTCTGTTTTCTCTCACCTTTTCGTCCTCTTTAGAACTAAGAAATCGTATAACAACCCGTACTTTACAATCAGCGTGACTCACGATTGTTGGAGGCATCTTAGACAGTGGAGTAAACAAGTATACAATGTCATGTAATGGCGTCAGTGCGTAGACAAGAGATGTAGGTAACCAATAACCGGCGGAATCGTAAAACGGTACTTACTTAAAAAACATGCCTTGTATATCGGACATATTACACGTGGAGAGAAATACACCTTGCTCCAACTGATTATGCAAGGAAAGATCCAAGCAAAGAGAAGCATAGGGAGGCGTAGAATGTCATGGCTGCGCAACCTGAGAGAGTGGTATGGATTTACATCAAATGAACTTTTCAGAGCAGCCGTCTCAAATGTCCGAATAACTATGATGATTGCCGACCTCCGCCGCGGAGATGGCACTTTTAATGACTTTTATAAAAGCCTGACCATCCCCAATCATTTCTAGCGACTTTTTAGTAGCTTTTAATAATTTTAAGTGATTTTTAATAATGTTTCAGTAAATAGTATTGAGTTTAAGCTTTTGGCTAGTAGGTACAGTGACTTTTTAGAATACCTAAATTTCGATATGAAATTCAAATTCATTCAAAAGAGAAAAACAAACTTTTACAAGTACCTGCTTTCTTCTTTCTTCCTCCTCAATTTTCCTTCTAGCTTCCATTTCAGCTTTAAGTCTCCTGTTTTCTTCCTCCTCCCTCAGTCTTCTTTCCTCTTCTTCCTTTAGCTTCCTCTGTCTTTCCATCTCTTCCTGTAACTTTCTGAGCCGTTCTTGTTCCTCAGCGATCTTCTGCTCTTGAATTTTCTTCTGTAGCGCTGTCATTTGTTGATTTACTTTGTCGGATAAGGATTTGTAGAGGTTTTCTGCGGTTGCTTTATCGATTTTTTCATCTTTCTAAAAGACAATGAGACAATAAGAAAGTTAATACAAAAGAACTTCTAATAAGCGTTTCTTAACACACATAACTAAAACCTACCTTAATTCTATCAATAGCTGCATCAAATTGAGTCTTCAAGTTATTAATGTCATTCCTCACAGAGTCTTTGTCTTTTTTGAGCTGCTGTGCACTCTGTTCGATTTGTGCCAAGTTTGAGTTCAGTTTTTTGATATTTCTGAGTGTATTTATTCTGGGTCCATGCTTTTTCCTCACAATATAACCTCTAACGACTTTCTGAACGACTATAAGTTGTTTGTTTCTGTACGTGATTAAGTTTTTCACTAAAATATACAGAGAAATAAAAAAACAAATAGACATAGGTTATATTAAAAGGGTATGAGTTGGTTATGTTAGGTCAAGATCTATAATATGATAACCTTACGTCTACAAAGTAAGAGAAGCAAAGCAAAAAAATTATTATTTACTATATTAACAATAAAATTAAGTCTTTTGGTTTATTAAATGACGACAAATGAAATTAACCACTGATACACAACGTGAAATCAGCTGCACAGCATTAAAATAATAGTAAAAGAGAGACAGTTGAACATTTTGTCGCAATAACTATCATTGTAACACTGGGCAGTACAGAATTCCCTACAAAACAGCAGAATAGACTACCGATATACCGACTTAATTACAAATATATACAACAAGGCAACAACAACTATTAAGCTAATGAAACAAACGGAGCCTATTAAAATAAACCGAGGAGTAAGACAAGGAGATACCATCTCGCCCAAGCTATTCAACCAAGCGCTAGAAGATGTTTTCAAACGACTACACTGGGATGGCTTGGGAATTAACATAAACGGACAAAATCTGAATCATTTACGATATGCTGATGATATTGTATTATTAACAGAAAAAAGTGAAGAATTACAAAGAATGATGGAAGAACTAGATAGAGAATCGACAAAAATTGGACTCAAGATGAATTACAGTAAAACAAAAACCATGACTAATCAACCAGAAGAACTAATAATTACAGTGGCACAAACAAGAATAGAAAAGTAAAAGAGTATATATATCTAGGCCAAATCACTAAATTAAATAAAGAAAATCAGACCGAAGAAATAAAGAGAAGAATAAGATTGGCCTGGGCATCATTCGGAAAACTGTCTTATATTCTAAAGAATTCAAAATACCCCCAATACTAAAAACGAGAGTCTTCAATCAATGTATACTCCCTGTCCTCACAATGGCTCTCAGACATGGAAGTTTACAAAGGAAAATATGGAAAAAATAGCAAAGATGGAAAGGCAAATGCTGAACATTAAACTATCAGACAGAAAAAGAAACGAATGGATCCGTAATAAAACAAAAGTAACAGATGTCTCAACTCAAGTAGCAAAGCTTAAATAGAAGTTCGCCGGACACACCCTAAGGCAGAAAGATGAAAGATGGACTAAGACAATTATACATGGAGACCATGGAATCACAACAAAAAAGAGGAAGGCCACAAATGCGATGGTCAGATGACCTGAAGAAACAGACCGCTTCAAAATGGATGCAAATTGCCAAAGATAGAGAGGCATGGAAGAAGGATGAGGGGGCCTATATCCAAGGATGGATGTATAGGGCTGTATAGATAGATAGAACTATCATAATCCCACAATATTTTTTCAATATTTTGTGCTAGAAAGTGGAGGTTTTAGAAAATAAATAAAACGTTTCTGTCATCAGAGGTTATTCGGAAGTACTAAAAAGGACTTGAAGAGTTATTATAAGGAACTAAAAAGTATTGTGATTCAGAAAAAGTTACTAAAAGATGTCCAAATTTCAAAAGTTGCCATCAGAACTTGTCACAGGAGATTACCAGTTACTAAAACGCTAGTCTTCGCTATGTTTTGGGTGTATTCTACAAATACTCACATTTTCATAGACCAGTCAAATTTGGGTGAGACAACACCCGATTTTACATAGCCTTCACAAAAAATAGATACTTTTCTATTTGTTGCATATGAAAGACCAATAAATCTATCCAATTTGCTATTAATATCTAATACAACAATATAATATCAAAAATACTGATTCATTAACACAATAGAAACTGCCATAAAACATTTCATTTCTCCCTTAAACATTCACTTTGTTAGGTTTTTTTAAATTTATTGTAGTGAATGGATGTAAGATAAATAAAGCTTTTCTCTAATCTAATCTGAATTTTACTAGGCTATGAAAGACTATAGCATTTTAGTAGCTTTTAATATCTTATAACGAAACTTTTCAAGTTTTAACAGCACTTAGTAAGTTATAATACTTTTTAGTTTACTCCTAGGACAACTGTACATTTTTCTGAACAAATCCAAATTTGACTGGTCCATTAAAAATATCAGTATTTGTAGAATACATTCGAAAAATAGAGAAAACTGTAGCGTTTTAGTAACCGGTAATATCTTTTGAACTTTCAACATCTTTTAGTAACTTTGAGTGAATCATAATACTTTTTAGTTGCTTCTAATAACACTTAAGTCATTTTCGGTACTTCCAAAAAATCTCTGATGGCAGAAACGTTATATTTATGTTCTAAAATATCCACTTTGAGTGATTTATTGTTGAAAAATAGTAAGCTGTACAAAACTTTTTTCCTCAGTTAATCCAAATTTGACTGGATTATAAAAGAACTGACAGTTATTTTCTAAACTGATCCAAATTTGACAGGCCTATTTATGACAGATTTTATTATTGTACGATAGGTAAGAAAAATATGCAGGACTGTGGCGTTTTAGTCGTTTCTAATATTTTGTGGCAATTTTCAAAGCAACTATTGAAATTTGAACAGTTTTCAGTAACTTTCAGTAAGTTATAATAATTTTTAATTACTCCTACCAACTCTTTAAAAGTTTATATTACTTTTGTGAAATTTTTAAAAACAGAAAATATTTTATTTTCTTTCCTAAGTGTTCACTAATAGTAAACTGTATAAAACTTTTTTCCTAAACAAATTCGAATTTGACTGGGCTATAAAAATCTCAGTATTTGTGTAAAAATTACCAAAAAAGTAGACAATATAGATATCATTTCATTTGGATGTTGAAATTTGCTAAAACCAGCATCATTTCTACTTTTGTTTTGAAAATATAAAGATAAATGGTTCATCATGAATTTAAGGAGAAATAGAGTGAATTTCACCGGTCTTTGTCATATACGTCATCACATCTTAGGAAATAAATAAACATATTTAAGCTTGATGATACAAAAGCCTTTCGATTTGACATATTCCTCTTATCCTGTCTGTTAAAAATTGGTGACAATCAATCGTGGGGCGCAATACACGAGCCCCTTCCATTATCAGTAGGCCCACCTATGGAATTTGCAGTTTAAGTCGATTACCAGCAACAAATTAAACTCTGCATGTTTTTATAAGTTCTCATATTAATTAATATAGTATTTTTATTAATATTGATTAAAACCATTACCCTTACGGTTTTTTATTATTTTCAACACTAAAAAAAATCACTAAACCGCGGCTATGCATTCACTTATGTTATAGTTTATTTTTATGAACGAGAGAGTAATTAGCATAATTTTAACTGGTACGTCCGACCACTCCATGGGCGTGCTCAAGATTAATTGAAAAATTACTTTGAATAATTGTAAAAAATAAATGAATTATTTCTGTGTTATAAAGTGTTATGTGTATGTAAACAAAAGTGACTTCTTTTATCACACACTATATTAGAACTGACTGGCCTACATTAAAAAGGGTTTTAAAAAATTCACATTTTTTTTAATTTTTAAAAATTACAAAAGAGAAAAAGAGTTTTTAAAACCGTCTAAGGTATGTTAAATAGATGAATAAAAATATTAATATAAAACTTACAGCTACTTGTTACAAATCCAAATCAGATTCAGAAGATGAACTTTCAGAACCAAGATTTATAATAACTGGCTCGATCATTTTATCGGTAATATTGTCCAGCTTCCACATTTTTTCCTCTTCTTTAATAGTGTGATTTACTGCCTTTTCCCAGTTTTCTAGTTTTACATTATTTACGGCCTCCAAAAACAACTGTTTAACATCATGAATTTTAAAAGTGGTATTTTTTCTTGAAACTTCACTCTTTATCTGTGCCCATACCAGTTCAATCGGGTTTAATTCACAATGATATCGTGGGGATCTAAGTACTGTCATTCCACGATTTTTGGCAATTTCATCAATTTCGTATTTTTTAAATTTTTCTTTATGAAGGGCACACAACGAATAAAGTTCCTTTCTTATAGATCCGGGATGGTTCGTAATATTTTTTGAACTCAGCCAATTCTGCAAGTCTTTTTTAACCACTTGGTTGTGGGCAGTCCTTCTATAAGTCTGGAGTGATTACTTTCATTATCCATTACTATTACACAGTTCTTAGGAAGAAGATCTATCATTTGTTCGAACCATTCTTGAAAGACATCAGCGTTCATGTCTTCATGGTAGTCACCGGTACGAGTTGATTCAAAAGTTAATAAACCACCTTCAACAAAACCGTCTGAACTGCCAATGTGTACTATTATCAGCCTGCGTCTCTTTCCTGATGGTGGGTTTAAACCAGTAGATAAGTTATTTACAAAAGCGTGCCTTTGACTTGTAACAGTTTCATCCTGCCAAAATTTATTTGGTGTATGACCCTCGTTGATCCATGTTTCATCAAGATAAAATATTTTTCTTTTTGGTTTCTCATTTCCTTTATGGTTCTTGGAAAATGTCTTCTCCATATGACAATATCGCTTCTTTCTAATAAAATATACTTTCTGGGATTCTTTTTCCAGCGGAAGCCTATTTCTTTTAAAAGTTTTCATAACGTACTTCGACTCATTTCTGGGTAATCCTTATCATCTCGAACTGAGACAAGAACTTTATCCAATGTTGGAAATTCTTGTCTAAAGAAGAATTCATGCACTTTCCGTCGAAGTCCTTCTTTAAAATGATATTCTATTTGAAATTTTGGTTTCCCTGGAGCATTACGTGGCATTTGAAAACTACCATATTTCTCTTCTTTAATAACTCTGTAAATCGTAGATTTCCCAACACCAAGTGTACTGCTAACTAACTCAACGGTCTCATCAACACTTCCACATAAACGTTTGTCTGTAAATTATTTAAAACAATTAAATATTAATGTTTTTTCATTAACTGTTAAAGGACCAATTTTTCGGCGTTTACACGGCACTTTCAAATTTTCCATAACACTAGTATACACAATAAACTGCACCTTGCAACTGAGAGTACCTACTTTTAGTGAACTGTTAAGAATTTTGAATACGCCACTTGGACCTTCCTACAAAATGGAAAAACCCACTATCACATTTTCTGTGGAATAAGTTTAGAAGGTAATTATCTAGTCAATTACTGTCGTAGATTCCTGGAATTAAAGAATTAAATGTTTGATTGTTGAAACCCTTACTTCATGGAATGCACTCATTTCAGATAAAATAAAACGTTTTATTTTATCTAAAGAATTAAACTTTATTTTGCAAATAGGAAGGTACTTATTAAACTTTTATTGGTTATATATAACCAATAAAATAAACATCTTAGATTTCTTGCAAATTCATTAGTACCTGTTAACCTCCATCACTCCGACACTGGCAACCTTATTTAGGGATTAGTAACCCTCACAACTATTGTATTCTATTCTGCTCCAACCTTTATACTGGTAGTCATACTCAATTTAAAATTGTTTTCCTATATACTTCTGTAAACTTGTTGACAAATATCTGTTTTTCATTGAGTCACCCGTATCAACAGTTTAGGGATTTGCATACATAATTTATTGTTTTATTACTCTCTCATACATAAAAATACACTATAACATACGTTGATTTCATAATTACGTTAAATCCAAAGTGAAAAAATGATATCAAAACAATAATATTAGTCGAGGTAAACAATACAATGGGTGGAGGTAAAGTTATCGATGAGAAAATTTGTTCAATCATTATTAAATTTTTTGGTTGAGTTTACCGAAAGTACAAGCTGATTATAGCCGCAAATGTCAAACAGAACAAAAAATTTCAGTTTAGCAGTGTTGGCATGTTTTTATCATGTATATGTTGTATGATTCAAATATAAAGAGACAAAGCTTTGGAAAAGTACATTTTGATTATATTGTGTTATGAATTCTGCAATGGAATTGGTTTTTAAGTCCCGGCTTGTCCCCGATAGACTTTGTGGCTCAAAATGAAAAAAGCTTTGAGAAAACATCCTGCCTGGTCCGTCAACAAATTAAAGGAAAAATTGCAAGAAATATGTGATTCGTTTACATTAGAATTTTGTCAGAATTTGACTTAATTTTCTTCTCAATCTAACGTTGAGCCAACTGATATGGGAAGCGGCTCGTATACATGGTGTAACATAAATCATAGCTTACTTTTAATAACAGTGAGAGCACAAAACTGTGCCTTGATCCATCTTGCCCTAACTAACCATTTCTTGACTTGATTCACAATTGCTTTCAAATTCTCTGTATCAGATTTCATGATGCTGTCAAATTCAGCGAATTTTCCAGGCCTGAAGAACACTTTCGTTACACCAAATTTGAAGTCCTTATCATGTAGCTTCAAGGCGTGCAGCATGGACTAAATAACGAGAATAATAAGTATTAAAATCAGTATCTACTATAATACTATGATAATTAGTATTAATCAGTATTGATACGTAAAACATTTTTAAACTTACCTCACAAAACTGTTTTGGGGAAAGCATGGATAATTCTTTGGGAAGATATTGCTTGTACATTGAATGGAGTTCGTTGAAAGAAGTTCGGCTAGGATATCCGTACTCCATGAGCTCCAAGACGTTGGTCATTCCTGAACATTTCAACTGCATCAAGCTTAAGTTTCCGTCGAATTGTTGGTCCACCATTTTGGAGTTTGGTTTAATACACCGGATAAAATTAGTTCCCTATAATGAACAATAATTACAAAAAAATACAACGAACACTTTTTAAAATATTCACTTATAAAACACTGGTAAAGCGAACCTGCAGTAAGACAAAAATACATATTAACAACTTTTCTCAAGGGAAAGCCCTTCAATGATATTATTAAATAAATTTTTAAAATGTCTCAGCAATAAAAACAGCAAAAAAAACTTACATTGCTCCTTAATTTCTCCATAAGTTCGCCCAATTGTATCTTAAATTTATTTCCTACGCTGCTAAAGGTAAGTTTACCTTTCAACGTGGTTGATATCGAAAACAGTGTCTGTATGAATTTATTTTTACTCTCTTGAATGATTCCTTCAAGGGAAGCGTGTAGGGCATCGTTGTTTTTGTCAATAAAGTATTTCTACAATAAAAAATATATTTATTGATAGTATTTATCTCATTTTGCGTTATAATAAAAAAATAAACAAGTTAACTATTATTATAATACATATACGAATTATCTTAGCCAGTTTAAGACACTTAAATATTGGACAGTAATAGCAAAGACGTCATTGCTTGTATTGGCTACCCTGAAATATGAAACTGTCAATGTACGTCACATATGTGCCAATATGTCACAATAGCGGTTAAGTCAGGGCGCCTTGTTCAATTAATCAACATATTGCAACAAAGACATGTAAATAAATATATAATTGGTAAGAGCTGGCTTAGATTAAAGAAATAAACAAAAAATGAGAAAAAAAAGACAAATCAAATGCAGGAGATTAAATAAATTCGTTTAAGGTGTACTATAATTTAAAAATATATATATTAAAATATGATAATAGATAACTATGTTATGATAATTATGTTAAAAATCTTCTTACCGTTTGATAACAGACAGCACCGGCGAAATGTCTGATCAGGAACCCTTCGTTATCTCTAAGGCTACGATGGGCCTTGAGCTTCGACGATCTGGGTAGTCCTAGTCTAAATTCCTTCGGCCAGGTTTTGTGAATTTCCTCTGTAAAATGTGTATAGGACGATTTCGGCAGTTTGGATTCTTCATCAAGAAGTGTTAATATGCCCTTGTTCTTTGTTTCGATTAAATCTTAAAAAAGTTTAAATAAAATGTATCAAATTTGTATAGCAGGTGTAAATTATATTATTTTAAGTAGATTTTGATGCCTTTTTATAAGCTTTTAATAACTCATATAAGTGACTATCATTGTTAGTTAAAGTTGACGACTTTTAGCAACTTTTAGTAAAGATCAGAAACATCAAGTGACTTTTTAGTAGTTTTCGGTAATTTTAAGGGACTTTTTAGTAGATTTCAGTAATTTTAAGTGACTTTTTGGTAATTCTAGGTAAATTTTACCTGATTCTAGAGGTTCTTAGTCACTTTAAAACCACTGCTGATGACTTTTTAACAGGTTTTACTACTTTTAGTAGTTGTCAGTCACTTTTAGACACCTTTAACAGTCCTTAATCACTTTTAATCACTGTTGCTAACATTTTGTCAGCTTTTACCGACTTAAAGTTATTTTTTCGTAATCTTACGCAAGTTTTAGTGACATTTTAATATTGTTTAGTGATTTTAAGTGACTTTTAAGAAATTTTTAACAGTTTTTAACCACTTCTAATTTTTGGGAATTTTAAGTAACTTTTTAGTATCTTCTAGTAACATTAGACGGATTTTATTTACTTCTAAAAGGTTCTTGGTCACTTTAAATCACTGATTATGATGTCTTAGAAGTACTAGTAATTGCAAATAACATTTAGCGTTATTTTAATAGCTTTTAGTGACTTTTAATAGTTCCTAATCACATATAATCACTCTAGTTGACTTTTCAACAGTTTTAAATGACTTCTTATTAATTTTTAGTAAGTTTTAGTTACGTTTAGGGGGTTCTTAATTACTTTAAATTATTGGTAATTACTCTTTGGCAACATTTACTATTTTAAATTACTTTTTATCATCTTATAGCTTGTAGTGACTTTTAAAAGTTCTTAATCACTTTTAATCACTGTAGTTGACTTTTTGTCAGATTTCGACAACTTTAAGTGACTTTTTAGTAATTAAATCATGGCTGATGACTTTTTAGCAGCATTTACTATTTCAAATAACTTTTAGTGATATCTTACGAGCTTTTATTAAGATTAAAAGACTTTCGTTGATCTTTAACAGTAGCTATTATGCCACTTTTAATCACCTGCTATTAACTTTCCACAAGTTTTAAATGACAAAGTAACTTTTTCGTAGTATTTAGTGATTTTAAGTCAAATTGAGTTACTTTTACCAGGTTATTAGTATTTATCACTGCTGATGACTCATCAGCAACTCATAGTGCTACATTAATAAGTTTTAGTAACTTCTAGTGCCTTTTAGTAGTTTTTAGTCGCATTTAATGAATAGAGTTGCCTTTTTCTCGACTTTTAACGACTTTAAGTCAGTAGTAAGTACTAATTTTAATGGGTTTTAGTTACTTTTAGAAAGTACTTAAGCATTTTAAATCATTGATGATGACTTTTAGCAATATTTACTGCTTCAGATAACTATTCGTGACATTTTAATAGCAACGTTTGATTCGATTTTAGTGATTTATAGTAAAGTTTTCGTATTTTTTAGTGTTTTAAGTGAAATTGATTTACTTTCATCAGGTTATTGTCACTTTAAATCACTGCTGATGACGCTTTGAGCAGCTTTTACCAAATTTAAATAACTTTTACGCGCCATTTTAATACCTTTTAGTAAAGTTTAGTTTAGTTTTTAGTTACTTTTAATCACTAGAATTGACTTTTCATCACCTGTTAACGACTTTAAGTGACTTTTTGTTACTTTTAGTGAGTTTTACTTACTTTTCGGAGATTCTTGATCACTTTAAATTATTGTTAATGACTTTTTAGCGAATATTTACTATTTTAAATAACTTGTGGCATTAACTAAAGTGGCATTTTAATAGATTTTAGTAATGTTAAAAATTTTTGTTGACCATTACCACGTTTTAATCACTACTGTTAACTTTTCATCAGCTTTTAGTGACCTTAAGTAATTTTTCGTAGTATTTAGCGATTTTAAGTTAAATTGAGTTACTTTTACCAGGTTATTAGTAACTTTAAATCACTTCTAATGACTCCTCAGCAGCTTTAAAACCAAATTCGAATAACTTTTAGTGCTATCTTAATAAGCTTTAATAACTTCGAATGATTTTTAGTAGTTTTTGGTCACGTTTAACGACTAGAGTTGATTTTTCCTCGGCTTGTAACGACTTTAGGTGAGTTGTAACTAATTTTTAGTGTTTTAGTTTAGTTTTAGGATGTACTTAATCAGTTTAAGTAATTGTTGATGACTTGTAGCAATATTTACTGCTTTACAGAACTATTAGTGACGTTTTAATAGCATTTACTAATTTTAAAAGACTTTTGTTGACCATTAACAGTTATTAGTTACTTTCAGCAATTTATTAGTGACTTAAAGCATCGTTTTCGTAGTTTTTAGTGAAATTGAGTTACTTTTAGCAGGTAATTAGTGCTGATTACTCTTCAGCAGCTTTTACCAGATTTAAATAACTTTTAGTGCCATTTTAATATATTTTAGTAACTTTTAGTGAACTTTACCAGTTTTTAGTCACTTTTAATCACTAGAATTGACTTTTTATCAGATTTTAAGGACTTTAACTTTTTGATAATTCTAGTGAGTTTTAGTTACTTTTAGGAGGTTCTTGATAACTTTAAATTCTTGTGAATGACTTTCTAGCAACATTTACTATTTTAAATAACTTTTAGTGACATTTTAATAGATTTTAGTAATGTTAAAAACCTTTTGTTGACTTTTAACAGTTACTAGTGACTTTTAATCACCGTTTGTTTAGTTTTCATCAGCGTGGAGTGAATTCAAGTAACTGTTTAGTAGTTTTTTGGTATTTTAAGTGAAATTTAGATATTTAAGTATGTTATCAAACACTTTATATAACAGCTGATGGCTTTTAGTACGTTATGATACAATAGTATAAATTATTCCTATCAAACTTACCTATACAGTCTTGATTGTCAACAAATTGTATTTCTGGTACAACAAGGCCTTCTTTTTTGTACAATTCTTGCTCGTGTTTGAGGATCATGTCGTTGAAAAATTGCTGCAATTTTTCATTACAATAGTTTATACAGAACTGCTCAAAACTATTAACAGTGAAGAATTCTAAAAGGAATATATCATTAAAAACATAAAAAAAATCGACATTATGAGAAAAATTATATTTTTCATTTTATGGTATTTTAAGCCTTTCTAATCTGATTTAAAAACTTTTATTTACATTAATTCTCTTTATTTCTGTTTTAAACTATACGATCTCTTTTCCAGTGCTTTTTTTGTCTTCTGTTTTATTTGGCAAAATAAAATCTTAACATTACTAAGAAGCACAAACTAATCAATATATAAAAACTACTTGAAACTCTCAGATCCGTTTAATCCATCTCTACTCGTAGGTAGAGATGTTCTAAAAAATAAGTTAATCCTCTTACAGAAGTGATTCTTCTGTAAAAATATTTCGTTAAATATCTATTTTCCATGGATTATAACACGTTTTTTCCTATCTATATGTTCATTTCTTAAAGCAATCCAGTAATCTTACTCTTACAGTTACAAAGAATTATAGAGTAATTAATTTCCCTTCATAGAGTAACCCTTATGGTTATTAAGTCCTTAAACCTTAAGAAACTATCAAAATAATTTTGAAATTCGATTAAGTTAACTCTATTTCTTTGGGTTATCAATAAAGAACTATACTCCTTTCAAAGAAAAAGTAATCCGGATTGTTTTCTTTACTTATCCATATCTTCTTTTATCAAAATTATTCATTAATCTCACTGATTTACAAATAATCATAGAAGAATTAATATCTGGTAGTAACCAGTCCTTAAACCTTATACAATCGTCAAAATAATCTGGAAAATAGATACATTATAGTTAAATTATGGAGTAGAGATGGATTTTTGCAAACTTGTCATTCGTTATTAAATACCAGTAAAGGTCCATTTTTCATTACAACTTTAAAAATATTTTTTAATAACTAATATTTCAACTTACCAAATCCAGCAATATCCAGCACACCTATGTAATAGCTAGAGGCTTGGAACGGTATACTTTTGTTTATCCTGTTGACGATGTAATCAAACAAATTACTGTAGATTGCTTTGGCTAGGGCGTCTCTGGCGTTGTTGGCTTCGTATATTTTCAAAGGTACCATAATGACAGTACCTTTCAAGCCTCCTCTCGCACTCTGCATGACGCGCGATATCAGCGCTTGCTTCAGTTCACTGGGATCTATTTCCAGAAGTTTGGATGCCACGAGTAGGGATTTTTCTCCAGAAGCTACAAATAATATTTAATAAACATTAAGTAGATACAGACATTGATGGTAGTACACAACAAGCAGAACCGCTGAAGGTCAAGTGCATGGAAGACCTGGATAACGGCAAAAGAAACTGAGTAAAATAGTCATCTATTCAATTATTATCTCGAGAAAGTCTTGTTTGTCATTATTTGTAATTGAAATCGACTTCAAAATAAGAAACCTTTATTTAATGTTGTTCACTTTTTATCTTTTAGGTGATAAAAAATAGTTTAAAACTGTTTAAAGAAATCGACATACCTCCAACTCTGCAACCACCTCTAGTATCTTCAGGATTATCCTCGAAATCAACGTTGCCCAAATGCAGAACAGCTGCCACTGTAGAATAAATTTGTAGTCTTTCACTTTCGCTAATTTCCAAACGAGACAGAGCTTCATCCAGTTCTTTGAAGCCACCGACATCGTCCAAGAGAATATCCTTCAGAGATCCGGCTTTTTTGTGATCGCCGCTTTTCCTGTTGGCATCTAACGATTTTTCAGACGCATTTGTTGTAAAATACCTGAAAAACGTTTTTAAATAAGTACTAGCAACTGTCTTGACCCAATGTAGTTTGAACAGAACCAATTTCTGGAAATTTTGCCACTAATTCACTGATTATTTTACCAGAAATATATGCTTGAACACAAGTTATAAGGCAAATATCTGGCAAATACAGAACATAATTACTATTTTAATATTAATAAGCCACAATTAAAGTTCAAAATAAGTTTATTGACGTTTCAATTTCCACTTCAGAAATCGTTTTTTTTTTCAAAATTTCCGAAGTGGAAATTGAAACGTCAATATACTTATTTTAAACTTTAATTGTGGCTTATTCCCATTAAAATACTAATGACTAAGATGCCACAATAAAATAGCTTCAGAACAATAATACAGAACATTTATTGACGTTTCAATTTCCAAATGAGAGAACTTTAAAATATTTAGGTGCAGAATGTGAAGTAGCGTTAAACAAAACTGCTAACAATATCGAAAAAAGTATAATTGCTAAATCTATTACAGATGTGTGTAGTGAAACTATGAATTCCTGTTAAAAAGAGAATAAAACAGCAATTTCAATTAAAAATAAATCAATAGAAAGTAACATTGTGTTTACAAAAGCAGACAAAGGCAACACTACTATTGCTATAGATAAAATAGAATATAATAACAAAACAATAGAATTCTTAAATAATCAAAATATTGAAACTTTACACAAAGATCCGACAGAAAAATATCAAAAACAAATTAAGCTAGCGTTAGAAAATTCAAAATCAATAGTATATCCAATAGAACAGAAATACCTTAATATCATGAACCCACAACCTCCTAAATTATACTCTTTCATTAAACTACACAAACCGGATCACCCCTATTTCTTTTTATACAGCTCCATCATATAAACTTTCAAAAAACTGTTAGAGATTATTTTAGATCACACTAAATTTTCACCTAAATTTACCATAAAAAACACAATAGAATTAGTTAATAAGATACAACATTTTCAATTACCTAACAACTCCAGATTAATTTCATTTGACGTAAAAAATCTTTTTCCTAGTATCCCTCCTACAAACACTTTTATTCTAGTAAAAAACCTTTTAGACCAAAATAGTACAAATCCAATAATTACATCTGAAATTTTACATCTTCCTGAAGTTTGCATAAACCAATAAACCAGGACTACTTTGAATTTAATGATCAAATATATACAAATAACAGTGCAGGACTTATAATGGGCAATCCTCTAAGCCCATTACTATCAGATATTTTTATGGACCATCTAGAGACAAAGACTTCAAAACATCCCGTATTCAAACAATTTCTATATTGGTGGAGATACGTAGATGACGTACTGGTATGTTTCACAGGAACTAACAGGCAACTCGACCAATTTTTATCGTATATTAATTCACTTCATAGTCATATTGAATTTACAATAGAAACAGAACAAAATCAATCCATAAATTTTTTAGATATAAAAATTATCAGACTTAAAAACAAACATGACTTCTCCATATTTCATAAACCTACACATACTGACACGAGTATACACAATTCATCATCCCATCCAACACAACATAAACTGGCAGCTTATCATAGTATGTTACATAGATTAACAGAAATTCCGATGTCAAAATACAACTTTGAGACAGAATTAAATATAATTAAGCAAATAGCAGTAAACAACGCATACAACGAACAAACAATTAATAAAATGTTAAATCAAAAACTACATAAGAAAGTCCTGAAATTAGTATTTCCACCACCAGAGAAAAAACCCAGTACTTTCTACTCGATTACATATACAGGCAAAATAACAACAAAAATATCCAAACACATAAAAAAGAAAGGAATAACACCAGCTTTCCGAACAAATAACAACCTAGGCAAATATATTAAAAATAACAAGAGCCAAAATAAAAAACACTTAAATAGTGGTGTGTACAAACTTCAATGTGGCGACTGCCCAAAAACTTACATCGGTCAAACTGGTAGAAACTTTAATAAACGAATAGCAGAACATAAAAGGGCTTTCAATAATAGAAAAACAGATTCGACATACGCACTTCACCTTCTAGATCATAATCATTCTTTTAATGACAAATTTAAAATACTTCACATTCAAAATAAAGGCCTTAAGCTATCTTTGTTAGAATCTATGGAAATCAACAAATTAAAAAACACAGATATAATTCTGAATGACCAACTTGAGACAAACAGTTCTCCCTTCCTCAACCTATTTCATTAGAGACTATAAATTGTAAACGCATGCCAAAAATAGATCACTTGAGAAAGACAATCAGCCGAAACAGCTGTAGTGATAATAGTTAAAATAAATTTTGTGGAAGTTTGAAAACAAAGTTTTCAGTGTTTTATTGTTACGTTTCAATTTCCAATTGGGAAATCGTTCTCAAAATAAAAACAGTAAATTTACTGTTAATACACACATATCTCAATCAAAATGTATGACAAAAAGACGGTAATTTTGTACTCAAGAAAAAATCACCAACAAACGAAAATTATTGATTGTCACTAAAGCATAAATTGCAACATTTGCTTTCATGATATGGTGAATTTTCGAAATAGAATCGAATGATTTGTGCAATTGTGTCAGTTTTACTAGCTTTTTGGTAATTATTAATAACTGACGGTAGGTTTTAAGTTACTGAAAATATAACGCTTTGAAAATTTAGTGTTTTTTAATTAGATTTTAGTAATTTCAAGCGATTTTTGGTAACTCTTAGCGACTTTTAGCTATTCTTAGTCACTTCTAATCACTGTTGTTGGTGACTTTTTAATAGTTGTTAGATTTTTGTGATTTAAAGCGATTTTTAAAAGCTTTAAGAAACTTTCAGCCACTTTTAATGACTTAAAGTTACTGTTAATAGTGATCGTAGTACTTTTAGTAACTCGTAGTGATTTATTTAGTAAATTTTAGAAGTCTTTGGCAAACTTTAATGACTTTTCGCAATTCCAGAAAATTCTAATAACTTTTGATGAGTTTTTAATAGCTTTCAGTAATTATTAATAACTTCTGAGAGCTTTTAGTCACTGTAAGTGATTTGTAGCGATTATTAGACACTTTTAATCGCTGGTAGGGGCAGTTTGGTAGATTTTGAGTTATTTTTAGTAGCTTTTATGAACTGCAGCAACTTTTAATAACTTCTAATCCCTATTAATGATTTGAGAGAAGCATTTAGTAACTTTCAACGTTTTCAATTTCTACTAACATTTTTAAGCATTTCGAGAAGTTCTTAGATTGACTTTTAGTATTGTTTAGTATTTTTTAACGATTTTTAGCAATTCAAATCATCATTTGGTTCAGTTTCGTAAATTCCAGTAATCCTAATCGATTTTTAGTAAATTTTTAGCAGCAGTTAACAAATTTTAGTGACTTTTAATCACTGTTTGTCATTTCTAGTGGTTTTGAAAAACGGTGACTGTTAGTGTTTTATGGCCATTTTAAGTTATTGTTGTGGATTATTAGACCCTTTTGATCACTGCTAGTTGCATCTTTTCTGAAGTCCATCGCTAGTGCTTGTGATTTCAACACTTTTATTAACTGATTGTAACTTGTTAGTAGAATTTATATGATTTTTACTAACTTTAATAACTTTTAGGACTCTGGACAATTGTGAGACATTGTTAATAACTGATGGATATTTTTTATAAGCTTTTAGTAACTTAAAGTAATTTTTGATGAATTTTAAGAACTTTTAGCCTTTTTTCAGTAACATACAAATTTTTATTAGTTTTGGAAAATATTGGTGTTAGTTTTAAAATCTAATGAAGTAGTGATTACTAAATACTGAATGAAGACGTATACACTTACCTTGTGCATCCGTGTTTTAAATAATTATAGTCATCAGGCTGGCTAAGATACAGCTTGTTCCTCAAACTCTCTGGTGCTCCTGCCAACAACATATAAAATATGTGGTAATTCCTTTCGTCTCCCTCTGTGGAACATATCCTTGATTTTTCTAAAAGATAGTGCGATATATGACCGCCAGCAACTTTAAATTTGTTGTCAAAGTGGACCTCTATGAATTTTCCAAACCTAAAAATACAAGCGATGTCAAAATCTCAAAGAATTTAATGTAATTACATATTTTTTACTTTAAGAATGTTGTTCTATGTAAAGATATGACACAATTAACTAAATATGTAATTAAATACCTAGAACTGTTGTTGTTTCTTGTGGTTTTAGCATTTCCAAAGGCTTCCAGCACCGGATTAGCGTCCAAAATTTTCTTTTCTAACGTTCCAACCTCAGCTCCCCAGTTATCGCATAAATACTTCAACAAATGTTTTGTAGACTCCGTTTTACCAGCTCCTGATTCGCCGCTAACGATAATAGATTGTGACTGCTTCAAAACCAACATATCCCTGTAAGCTAAAAAATTAAGAAAACAATAGTCACATGGTGGTAAGTCAGGACTCTACATGTTCAACGAAGTTTTGAAAAGTATGTGCCACAATATATCGAGCATTACCATTCAGCCTTATGAGCTTTTCCACTAATGAGAAGTTCTCAATGCTTAGATCTTGAACTTGTTTTAGTAACCTGTACAAAAATCATACTTAAACTATACCTTTGTCTGCTATGGCGAAGATGTGCGGTGGCATTTGACCCAGTGATTTTCCTTTGTAGTTTTTGATAGTTTGTGATGCATACAGCGTAGGAATATCTTTGTAGGGGTTGACGGCGATTAATATGTTAGCTACGTATGACTGAAACAATTAAAAATTTGATTAGTAGGCCAGATTAATTAATTTTTAAAGCTGTTCTTGAATTTTTCAATGTATTTATGCATATTATTGTAAGACTTTGATTTTTTGATATTTATGTACTAATATATTTGATATTGGCTAAAATAAAAAACAATGTCTTTGCTTCATAAAGCAGTAGTACTGCAAAAACCAGATCTTGATCGATGGAGGGTGTTTTGGATCAAAAAACGATGATTTTTTCATATAATATATAGAAAGAAAATGTACAATAAGATTATACCCACATATTACCAAAAATTAGCTCCATGGAGCAAATTTTTGGTAGAAAATACAAATGTGTTTAATCTCTGGTGAGGATAGCGAGATTATCGAGATGGCGTGGTCAAATCTGATTGCCCAAACCAGTGTATGTTCGACTAGGAAATGACTGACGCAATATGTATTAGATATAGCACCGTCCTGGTGAATCTAAGGGTTGCGCTAATCACATCTCACTTAAAACTGGAGGTTGTTATGTACGGTGGCAAGAATTACTAACCTCTATTTGCAAGATCATGGAATTAATGTTTAATATACTTTGAAAAAATTGACTCTCGGTAAATTTTCAGTGATTTTTACTAAATTTTAGCAATTAGTATACACTTGTAATCACTGTTAGTGACTTTTTCGGAGCTTTTAGTGATTTTAAGTAACTTTTAATGACTTTTAGCTAGTCTTGGTACTTAAACGATGCAATCAGTCTTCGACTTTCTTTGATAAGATAATTATAGAAAAAAAAGTGTTTTTTTTTCTACTTCTTGATTAACATCTGTCATTTTTGAACACTGTTAGTGACTCTTAGGTAATTTTTAGTAATAATTGCTAACTTTTAGCAATTAGTATACACTCTTAATCACTGTTAGTGACGTTTTCATAGCTTTTAATGATTTTAAGTAACTTTGAGTGACTCTTAAAAAAAATTTTAGTACTCAATTGGAGTTTTAGACCATGGCATTAGTCTTGGGCATTTTTCCTTAATATAGTTATAAAAGTCTTTTTTACTTCTTGATTTATAACACTGTTAGTGACTTTTAGGCAATTTATATATACTTCTTATACACTTTAAATTACTGTTACACACTTTTTCGTGGCGTTTAGTGATTTCAGTAACGTTTAACAAACTTTTAGCTGCGCATAGTATCAAGAAGTTTTAGGTCACTGAAACAGTCTTCATCATTTTTCGAAAAGATATTTCAAGAAGATGAGTTTGTTTTTCTATTTCTTGATTCATATTTAATTCATTTTTTAAACGTTTTAAGTGTTTAGTGAACTTAGACTTTAGACAATTAGACTGCGCTGTGAAATGCAACGTTACAGTCTCGGGAGAATTCGAAGTGAAAAAAGGTGTTCGCCGAAGAGACCCGTTGTCTACGTTGCTATTCAATATAATTGTAGAAACAATTGTAAGGGTTAGTGGGATAAATCGGTCCGACGCTATTTTATACAAGGATCACCAATGCTTAGCATATGCTGATGATGAGGTTCTCATTGCAAGAAATAGAAAAGAATGACAAATATAGCAAAAATACTGATTCGGAAAAGCTCTAAAATGGGACTAAATGGTAATATTAATTCGAAGTACATGGAAATCTCGAGCAAAAAAGGAATAAACATCAGCGGATGCTTTAAATTGAAGGTAGAGGATGGATCAGTTGTGGAATTCGAAAAAGTGAATGAATTATATGTACTTAGGTACTCTTATTGATCAGACATGTAAGGAAGAAACTGAAATCAACCTGAGACTTATCAAGCAACAGGTGTACTGGAGCCATGAGCAAAATAATTAAAGCCAAAGATATATCTCGTAATACAAAAATAAGAGTGTACAAAACTATAATTAGACTTACAATGCTATACGCTGTCGCAGAATATTTGGTGGAAAAGTAATAGAGGGAAAATGGAGAAGACGAACTAATGCAGAAGTGTACCACTTGTATGCTAACGTTTATAATAACAAAAGTGGTGAAAAAACGTAGACTAGAATGGCTCGGATATCTAGAAAGAATGCAATGACTAGTCAAAAATATTGCTTGGAGAGTACTTGAGTGCAAAAAAGGAGATGAAGACCAAGGAAGATATGGAAGATGTAGTGATGGAAGGTAGAAGGGAATCAGAGATTGATAGCTGATAGCCAAGAACAGAAAACGATGGAAATTATCCATCCATTAATGGGTCCAAAAAGTCTGTTAATGCTGTACGTAATACAAATGTTACTCATACAAATTTCTTGCTAAGAGGCTGAATTGTGATGTCGTGATGACAAATGGCATTTCATAACTATTCTTGAACAAGCAACCGAATTTTGGTGTAAAATCGTCACATGATTCAGTCACAATTCTCACCAAAACTGACATACTTAGAATGAATTTGTCTTGTGGATGTTACACGGCAAGGAAATGGGATTTCATGGACGGATGAACGATGATCAGGTGAGATTTTTGAAAGAAGTAAACTAAAAAACCAAACAAAAACATTGTGGAATAGTTCTAAGAGAAATTACAGGGATGTTCAAAGATTTGCTCAATCTATTTAATATGCATATTATACATACTTAAATTGTTAAATAAACTTTATTTTTAATAGTTTACTTACGTAAATTTTGTCCTGATAGTAACGTGACCGTATGTTGTTTAGTAAGGAACCTTCATTAAGGAACATCATTTCACCTAAAAAAAAAAAACTTAAAACGTTAGAAAAAACATTCGATAAAGAAATTTGAGTTCTATAAAATTTCTCTAATTTGGATGTCCAATTATTCAATTACAACGAATTATTTTTCAAATATATCACTAGGAGATTCTATTGATTGTAAAACTTCGGTTGTAGTCTACAAGGAACGCTTTTGAACCATACCGCAAGGTGACAGTGTTTTCGAGAGATAAATTATATTGGCGTTGACTACATCGTTCTTCGTTCTTTTACAATATTTATATTTCAGTGTTGGTATACATAAAATTGATTTCTATGTGTTCTCTTCAAGCACTAAACATTTTTTTTATCGAATGGCAAATACATCTTCGTAATGAAATTTATGTTTGTGACAGTGACTGCCGTAAATGGAGCTTTAAATGAGTCTTGGGCGGAACGAAAAAATGAGATGTCAGTTTTAATCTTCGAAGTGAAACTTGTAACTGCGTCAGTTAATAGGGAAAAATTTAGACGATTATAGACATTTATGATATTCTTTGGTGATCCGACTACTTTACGTTAACAATCATATTGGCACTACAAATTTTGTTTAGGGCAGCTTGGAATAGAACAGTGACGTCTTTTATTCTCACTCTCAGAGAACCACGATATCTTCTTCAGGCCTGGACATATTCTTCTGACGATCTTATACTACAGCTTATAATTATCATTATCATTAATTATAATTATCTGGGTTTCGCATTCAATCCCATAAGAAACCGATTCGATGTAAATTGGAAGTTAACGATAAAGTAGTTAATATGACAAACTTCTTCGTCTTTTTATGTAGACATGGCTATGTCTTTTTTCAATGTGCATCCAGTAAGTTGCCGTTCCATCGTTTCCGTGGTCTTCCTGATCATCTTCCTATTGGGGAACTGTCTCTTGCCGTCTTTATTACTTTATTTATTGTCATTCGGCTTACATGATCGTTCCATTCTAATCTTCTATTTCTTACATAGTCCTTGATGTTCTCCTCCTTGATATCTGTACTTCTACCTCTGCTCTACAGTGTTTTACCATCAAGTGTTTTTATCTCTGCTATTTCTCACATCCTTTTTGTCCTTTCTGTATCAGTTCTTGTTTCTGCCAAGAATGTCTGAAAACTGTTTAGTAAATTCTGCCTTTCATCCTTTCCGATATTTTTATTTCATTTTGTTTCATCCATATTGTTTCATTTAGGCAACCTGCGGCTCTATTTTCTCTATTCACTTGATCTTTCACTTTTGTTTCGAGGTTTTCGTAGCTAGATAATGTGATATTTAAACTCCATCACTTTTTCTATGACCTAACCTTCCAGCTCCTATTTACACCTTGGTAAATTTGTTGTTTTCTGGGGAAATTAACCTGTTGAATTTTCTAGCGGTTAATATTAAATAGGTGTAGCATACGTTATACACCATCTTTACTCTGAGAGTAAAGAGTATTGCTGAGTATTGCGTCGACTGCATAGCAGATTCTTTTAAGTTGGTTCTCTTCCAGTTGGTATCCTTTTTAGTTATTACTTTTTTATTATTTCATCCTTAATCACGTTGAACAATAGAGGACTCAGGGAATCTCCCTGTCTTATCCCACTGCCAGCTTCAATAGGGTTAGTTAGTTCTTCTTCTACTTTTACTTTTATTGTGTTCTTTTGGTAGATATTTTAGATCGTTTTGATTATTCCTAGAGGTATCTATCTTACGTATAATAAGTGGATAACGTCCTTTAAGTTGACCGACCAAATGTCTTCTTAAGGCCAATGAAACATAAATATGCCGTTTTGTTGTATTCTAATGATTTCTCTTGTACTTGCCTCATTATAAATATAGCGTCATGTAGGATCTTCCCGACCTAAAACCTTGTTGTTCTTCTGCTAGTGTTATAATTTCATTCAGTTTATTTGTTATCACTTTGGTTGTTAATTTTAGTGTTTTGTTTAATAAATTAATTCCTCTGTAATTTTCCGGGTCCGATTTGTCCCGTTTTTTGAAGAGAGGTATTAGGATGCTTGATCTCCATTCTTGAGAAATTCTGTTTTGATTTATTATTCTTTGGATTAGTTTTAATAGTTGTTTGGTCAGATCTGGTCCTCCGTACTTGAGTTCGTTCGATATTCTGTCCTCTCCTAGTTATTTTCTGTTTTTTAATTTCCTTAATGCTTTCTTTACATCTTCCCCCTCAATATTTATTTCTTCGTTTGTCGGCACCTCCGGTGTTGGTGGTTCATTATCGTCACCTATAACAAATAGTGATCGAAATTAGTCTGCCTGTGATTCCTTCTGAATGTGTTTCGTTTTTATTAGTTCGTTCATTTCTTTTCTTTGTCCTCTGATCAGTCTACATATTTTCTTCTGTGTTCCGTAAAAGTCGTGTTCCATCTATTTTGAGAAGCTCTCTGCCAGTGTTTCCTTTTTATTTGTCTAACTAAAGTATTGTATGGCTTTTATGTTTGTTGTGTTCCGTATTGTAAAAAGTCTTTCTTCTTTTCTTTACTTGAACAAACAATGAATTTTAATTATCTATCAAATCAAACTTGAAAAATGTGAAAAAATATGTTCTGTAGTAATATATATTTCTTTTTCTATATCCATTATGATTCCCACTGTTTCAAATAATTGTCGAATGTTGATGTTGCCGTTCAAAATTTATCAATTATAAAGGATTGTTGAATACTTTAAACGATACTTACAGTTGTCATCGTAGTTTTTATTATTGTCATCAACATTGGCCTAAATATCTCACTAAATTGCAAGACTCTCTTGGGAAATTTGGAACTTTGTGGTATCACTTCGGCACCATCGTCGAGGAGCTCGCTTATCCTGCCCAATATGTAGCCCTCCGTATGGTCACGAGCCCACACGTAGTCGTCCATGTTTTAGCTGCAACAAAAAACGATTATTTAGTAAAATAAAGCCACAAATCCAGAATATTCTCGATTGCACATTGATACATAGACAAAGAAGTTTCAGCGGTCATTTAAAACTTCAATATATAAAAAATTATCATAACAGTTTTTTATACCATCAATAATATACAGAGTATAAATGTCTCTGAAAATTGTACAACTTTATGAACAAAGCTTACAAAAAGCCAAAAAAATAACAATTATATGTAACAATAAAACACTGAAAACTTTGTTTTCAAACTTCCACAAAAATTAATTTTAACTCTTATCAACTACAGCTGTTTCGGCTGATTGCTTTTCTCAAAATGACGCCACTTTATGTAGCCTGACGTTTGATTATATGCAAAATCTTGAACTTTCATTTATTCCTGTACAGGAGACTTTTTACTTACGTCAACTAACCGACAATGTCTTTGAAATTCACAATATGCAAAAAATAAGGGGTGTTTTACACCTACTACGAGGCTCAAGCCAGTAGGGGTCCCAATGAAGTTGCTTCATTTCTTATGGATTATATCAACTCTGAAGTGCCTACTGCTGTGAAACATCTTCACTTATTTTCTGACAGCTGTGCCGGTCAAAACCGGAATCATACTGTAGTGTTGTAGAAAGTTTTAAAACCATAAACCAGTATTCTCCACAACGTGGTCATTCCTTTTTGCCAAACCATTGAAACTTTGCGGCAATAAAAAGGGTCATAAAAACATGACCGTGTTTACCACCCAAAAGAATATACAGAAATGATAGTAGGTACTACATTCTACATGACACAAAAAGTTTCTTGTTTAAAAGGTCTTCTTCTTAAAGTTCCATCTCCTATCGGAGGTTGGATATCATAACGGCGATGGTCACTTTGTTGGCTGCTGCTCTGAAAAGTTGTAGTGAACTACAGTTAAACCATTCGCTAAGGTTCCTCAGCCAGGAAAATAATTCTCAGCAGTTCATATTTTTCTCCTCTGGTTATGTGACCCAAATACTCTAGTTTTCTTCTTTTTATGCTGTTCATAATTTCTAACTCCTTATTTAGACGTCGTAGTACCTCAGCATTGGTAATCCTTTGAACCCACTAAATTTTTATTATTCTTCTGTAACACCAGTTAAACGGCGGAAACGTAAATATTTTAAACTTAAAAAGTAGTGACCTAAACATTACAAAAAAAAACGTGTTTGTCTACCGACTTAATGAGCAGAAAAGAAAAGGATAAAAAATTTTTTTTTATTCTTCAAACTAACCAGGAACTGCAGAGAATGTAAGACTAGCTTAATCTTTTATCATTGTAACACTAGGATACCCTCAAGAAGATGGTTCTACACAGAATCTAATCGACATTTTATAAAGACCATTAATCGGCTGAGAGCAAATCATGCTCTTAAGCCATTTTAGTTTTGACTTGCTGTAAACCTAGTTGTAACTTACAGTCAAATAAACTATCTATCTATCTATCTATCTATCTTACATGCATGGAATCTGCTTATCAAATACTCCCAATTGTACTTGTGGCAAAATAGGCGATCTAACACATTATATATTAGATTGTGATTTAAAAATTAAGCATATAAACAAACTTTATAAGGAATTAATAAATTCTAAGTGTTGATTTCCAATAAACTTTAATCTTTTAATATTTTCAAATAATATGAAAATCTTCATTGCATTTACAAACATGTTAAAATATGTAAATACAAGTTGTAAATAGTATATAGGCATAATCTGTTAATATGGTTTAAATAAAAAACAAAAAAAGTATACCACAAATTAATAAAAAAAACAAATAAATAAAAGAATTAAGAAAATAGAAATAGAACAAAAAACAAAAAAAATAAATACAAAAAAAGCAAAAAACAAAAAAAAACAAAAAAGCAACAAAACAAAAAAAGAAAACAAAACAAAACAAGAAAACAATAAAAGAATAAAAAAAAACAAAATAAAAGTATATCAAAACAAAATTTATGTATCCATAAAAATATAAAGTATATGTAGGAACTGTAACAGTATCAGGAATATATCAATGATTTTATCACTAACAACTTTAAACTTAAAATAAGTGATAGAATTCCATGTTTACCAACAGTTTTTTACTATCTGGATGGTAAAGTACCAATTAATAAAAAAATATTAAAGATACACGCAAGCTCATGAACTACATGCCAAAGGAAAAAAGATCATTTTTTAGTTCATAAAACAGATTATGCAGTGGCCTACAACTGATGCAATTAATGATGATTTATGCTTATACTTTATTTTTCAGACAATAAAATTTCCAAAAAATATTTTTTTTTATTTCTGTTCTGAAACAACATAAGTCACATTTTGTAAAACCATAATATGACTTAAGAAATAACAATTTTTTGAAAAAAAAATGTAATGCATAATGTACAGAATAGGAAAATATTATTGCAACAATTATTTTTTACAGCGCTTTAAAGCAGTTTATTGTGATTTGCTCAAAATTATAATTTCTATTCTGAAATGACTGATTCAAAGAACAAAAAAGAAAAGATTGGATAACCACTGAAATTCTACAAGCGATGAAAGAAAGAAGACTTCATAAAGATAACAAAGAAGAGTATAATAGAATCAACAAAATCATCTAAAGACAAGTCCAAGAAACCAAAAAAAATGGGCAAGTGAACGTTATTAAGACGTAGAAACACTTACCTTACTACACTTACTTACCTTTGGAAGAAACTAAAAATGGAAAATCCGCTGGTACAGATGATTTAGGTATAGAAGTCCTAAGGTTACTGAACAAGGAAAATCGAGAGAATATCAATTGATAGGGTGTTAGAAATAATGAATAAAGATGAGGAACTATAGATAACAAATAAGCAAAGAAAAGCGTATCTTTAGAAACGATAAGTAGATCTTCTGCAGTTGATAGTTAAAAGAAAGATCGACAGAAGACGAGGCATCGAACGAAAGACGACCACGCATTTATATCGACCAATAGAAGCACTCTCCGTCAGTTATCATTATTGCTAATTCGACTGTGTTAAAAGAATTGTATTTCAAGTAACCAAAAATAAAATAATTGGTTCAAATTTATTCAAAAATTTGTATTTTGACAACGATTTTCCATCTGTAAGTCGAAACTTTGCATAGATCATTTCTAATTGTATTTCTAGTTCACTCATAAAAATATAATAAACAAAATATCATTAACGAAAAATAGTAAATACATTTTACTCACATTTTTTCAACCAACAGTAACCTCACAGTAACGGTATTCGTGATCCTATGAAGTCATCCGGCAATCTCATTTATCTTATCAAACTAATTCCACCTTATCATCAGATACAGACTAATTGATCTCTAAAAATATTACTTATTACATGTAAAATTAAATTTTCGAGTTATCTGCGAAGATATAAGTAAACAGGCATTTTGTTTTAGATCAATAACAATCTGATGTATAAAAATGGATTAATCTGAGATAAAGTCGAGATGTTTGATTGAATTGAATGGTTTAGGTCATCGTTTTTGTTAGTTCTAAGTCTATTTATGTTTGCGAAATAGATAGGAATTTCTATCGATTTAAAAAATGTATATTTGTATTCAAAATAGTCTTTAGTTTCGATGATTACTTCCTCATCGGAGCGATATCTCTTGCCACGGAGCATTTTTTTTTATTGGAAAAAAGGTGGTAATCGCTGGGGCCAGATCTGGACTATACAGTGGGTACGGAAACAATTTAAAGTCAAAATGTGTGTATTTTGCCACATCGTTTTCATCGACTTGTGACAAAATTTTTTTCTCGAACAAATGTAAGCCTTTTCTTTGCGATTTCGCTTCCTGTTCCTCTATGCTTCTCCATGTTTCAAATATTTAATGAAAATAATTCCATATAGGTCTCAAAATACAGAGGTAGAAACATTTTCTTAGGTGTGTTGCGACTTTCTCCGGGTACTATCCAATCAGATGACTGCCGAGTTAATTCTGGATGACGGATCCACTTTGCATCCATTGTGACTTACCGAAGCAAAAACTCCGGATATTCCGGATAATCATATCCGAAAAGTGTCGAGATTCATCAATTCGTTGTTGTTTTTACTCTGATAAGCGGAAACAGCTTTCTTTTACGTACATATTCATGTGTAATAGTCAAAATGCTACTCTTTGATAACTTGTGTGTCAGTTATCTCTTGGAATTTCATTTGCGGTTTTCCATAATAATTTTCGATCTGTTCCCTTCACTAAGTTATCATAATTCCCATTTACTATCAATTTGTATTAGTATTCCCTATACCTATCTCTTGCAGTTTTCAAATAAATTAATTTCGACGTTCAAGTTGCGGTTTAATAAGACTCATTGCTAATGATTTCAAAAAGTTTCTTTCTCGTAACACAGTAAGTAAGTTCCTTTTAGCTCATCAACGGTATCAACACCTTCCTGTTGCATTGTAAAATGTAATCATTGTTGGCTTTTGTGCATCGCTACTTTCTGGATCAATCTTGTGTTTGTAATGCACTGTTGACAATAATATAACTGATAAATTGCGTTAGGCTTTCACGGCCATCGTCTAACTTATTAAACTGTTTATTCGGGCTGTTGGGCCGTTGTCTTCTGTTGAGATTAGTTCTCGACGTTTCGCCAACACTAGGGGTTGGCATCTTCTGGAGATGTTGATGCTTCGCTTGTAAGCAGAAACTGACTGGTAAGCAGTGGTAACTTTAGTTCTCGAGATATTTCTAATTGGCCGTTTATCTGTTGCCCCCTGTATGTATTAATTTCTCAGGAAAACATGACAAAAACTAAAATAAAATAAAATAAACAATTAACGAAAATTTTATTTATCTAAATATCCATTTTCTACTAAACGCAAATAAAAAAGACATGGAAACGTTATAATAGAACATAGAACAACAATAAATTTATAGATCTAAATTTATAGTCGACAAAACAGATGGTTTATTGTTGTTGAATATTGTTGAAAAATATCCTTCCACTTAGTCCGCCTCTGACTGT